TCCTTCCTTCTTTCTTTCTTTTCTTTCTTTCTTCTTTGTCAGTCATGAGGCTTGAACTCAAGGCCTGGGCACTGTCCCTGAGCCTCTCTGTGCTCAAGGCTAGCACTCTACCATTTGAGCCACAGTGCCACTTCCAGCTTTTTCTGTTTATGTGGTACTGAGGAATTGAACCCAGGTCTTCATGCATGATAAGAAGGCACTCTATCTCTAAGCCACATTCCCTGCCCTCAGCCCAAATTTTACTTATGTGTAAGAGGTTTGTAGCATGAATGCTCTCCCAGGACCAGCCCAGTGTCCCAGCCTGGTTGTAGCCCAAAGCTAGGAGAGACTCAGTGAATTCTGTTTGATCTCTAGGGCATAGTGTACTGGTCTGGGTAGGTTAAACCTACCCAGCACTGATGGCACTGATGGCTCATACCTCTAATACTAGGTACTCAGGAGGTTGGGATCTGAAGATCATGGTTCAAAGCAAGCCTGGGCAAGAAAGGACTCTTATCTCCAATTAGCCACCAGAAAACTGGAAATGGAGCTGTGGCTCAAAGTGGTAGAGCTCTAGCCTTGAGCAGAAAATCTCAGGCCCAGACCCTAAGTTCAAGCTTCATGACAAAAAAAAAAAAAAAAGAAGAAATTAAAAAATAAAAACCTGTCATTCCAAGAACTATTATCTATCATTAACCTGGGATGAAATTTTATCATCGCAGACTTTGATTCCTATCATTAATCCTTAATGGGTGGAGCTGTGACTCAAGTGGTAGAGCATCAGCCTTGAATATAAAGAAACCTAAGGTACCACCACACAGGTTCTGAGTTCAAGCCCTAATACTGACACCAAAAAACCAAAAACATTCTACTGTGTTTGCTGGCAAACTGATGCTGTACGCAAATCTATACTGAGTGACAGCTCTAGAGTTGTGCAAATGCCCACCCTGTGGAACTGTCCAGGTACCGTCACTGGTGGCCTATTCATTTTGGACAGATGTGAGACTATGTTGCCGGTGTTTTCAGTTTTAACATCAGCCTCTTCTTTCTCTCTTATGGGTGGCAGGTGGCAGGCTTCAGCCCTACTGGCTCCCACGAGGAGGCAGGATGGGGGAATCAATGTGATAGTGGCCTCCATTTCTCCCCCTCTCTCTCTTATCCCCCTGGCTCCTCTCTGCTCCTCATGACTCATACAGAGCTTCTTTTCCCCAGCCTCGCAGCTGCTTTATCAGTGACACATTAATTAGGTCCAGTGAGGGTTGGTATGCATTGGAGAGGCCCCTATGCCTCCTGGTGGACCAAGCTTGTTCTTCCTTTTTGTGTTGTGCATCTCTTTCTCAGGAAACATCATAAATGAGGCTCCCTACCTGCGGTCCTGCTGTCTGCCGAGAATGGCAGAGAAGGGAGAGCAAGAGGAAGAACAACCCCACGGCTGCTGGATCAGGCCAGGGGGCTTTGCACACAGTAAAGCTCACCACACAGGTGCTGCTAGCACTGAGGTGACATTGGACCCCAAAGGTGCCCTCTGGTGGCCACAAAATTCCAGGAGTCAAAGGGGAGAGAGGCAATGGAAGCCACCAGACAGGGCTGCTCCCAGACCATTTCCAAGTAGTGAAGTCCCTTCACCCAGCTGGCTGTTAGTGAATCCGAGCTCTGTTCTCACCTGGTAGCTTCTGGACTTAGCATAGCATGTGATACATACTAGTGCTTTGATTTCCTACAGGGCACTAGTGGTTCACGCCTGTCATCTTAGCTACTCGGGAGGCTGAGATCTGAGGGTCACAATTCAATGCCAACCCCAGCAGACAAATCCATAAGACTCTTCAGTTAATCAGTCAAAAGCTGGAAATGGAGGTGTGGCTCAAGTGGTAGAGCAGCAGCTATGAGCCAAAAGGCTCAACAAGAGCACAAGGCTGTGAGTTCAAACTCCCAGTACGAACACACACACACAAAAGATTCCCTGATGTATGAATTAATCCAACATGCATGAACTGAACACAGGTTACAGGCAAAGACATTGCTACTTGGTAGGCTGGTTAAGCCCACCCTAGCCTCACCCGCACAGAACTTTCAAAGTGCTTCTTTTCCAAGAGTGGAAAGTGCCACACAGGGGTGTAAGAAGATGGGCAGAGTTGAGGAACAGGAAGAGAGCCTTGATCTATCATGGTCATTAGCAAGACCCGGGGTAGTGGTGATGCCTGGCCTGTTGTCAATGCTCAGCACATGTTTATGGGATAGAGGGATGACTGGATGAATGGATAGATGATGGGTAGGTAGGTGGGTAAAAAGATGGATGGATGAATAATGGATGGATGTGTGGAGGGAGGGAGGAAGGATTGGTAGGTGGATGGATGGATGGATGGGTGGGTGGGTGGATGGATGGATAGGTAAATGGATGGATGATGGATGAATGCAAAATAGATGGATGGGGTGGGTGGCTGGTGGTTGGATAGATGATAGATGGATGGATAGAAGGGTACGTAAATAAATAGATGAATGGGTGGATGGATATGGATGGATAGATGGGTAGGTACACAGATAGATGGATGGGTGGTGGATATGGATAGAGGATGAGTGAATGGATAGATTGGTAGGTAGATGAATGGATGCTGAAACCTATGTATTCTGACCCAGGCTCAGGACCGCTTCCTTTCTGACCTATTCTGCCTCTTCCTCACATCCTCTCTGCTGATCTCTTCTGGACTGGCAGGTTGCTGCCTTAGTTGGGACCTAGAGAACCAGATCTGCTTAAGCAGAGCACACTTAAGGGAGTCCAAAATAAACTTCCAGAATAGCCTCCTTTTGTGTGAAGAAGGGTCAAATGCTCTCCTCCTCCTCCTACTCTTCCTCTGCCCACTCCAAAAAAATCTGTCATTAACCTCCTGCCCACTGTAAGGGGCACAGTGATCAACAGAAGCCCAGCTGTTGATTAATTTTCCCAAACAGGAACAAACTACAAAGCAGCATATTGCAGAGGAGAAAATTCAATAAACAACATTTGAAACAAATTTAATAGAACATATAACTCATTACCCACCGGGCACTGCCTCACTGTGCAAGGAGGGAGGAAGGTGGAAGACTGGAAGAGAGATTTGCATCTCTTTACAAGGACTAGCTCCAAGGGTTCTGTGCTGCCAGTAGCTCCTTCAAATCAAGTTCAGGGTGTTAATAGCCAATGCTGCATCTATAATTAACAGGCCTTTGAAAGGGAGGAAGAGTTCACAGCCATCTCTTATTCACAGAATGAAGACACAGAGCAGGACTGGGAGGTGCAAGCCCCGCCTCCCTTTCCCAGCAGACATCCTCTCCTGGGATTTGTGGTGTTGGGCTGGGGAGATGGGATTGGGGTGGATATAGAAACAGCCAGACAAGCTGGGCTCTGGTGGCCCCCAAGCTACTGAGGGGCCTGGGATCTGAGGATCAAGGTTCAAAGCCAGTGTGGGCAGGCAAGTCCATGTGCCCTTTTGTTGTTGTTTGGTGGTGGTGGTTGTGGGCCTTGAACTCAGGGCCTGGACACTGTCCCGGAGCTTTTCCACTCAAGGCTAGCCCTCCACCACTTTGAGCCACAGCGCCACTTCTGGTTTCCTGGTGGTTCATTGGAGATGAGGAGAGTCTCATGGACTTTTCTGCCTGGGCTGGCTCTGAACCACGATCCTCAGATCTCATCTCCTGAGTAGCTAGGATTACAGGTATGAGCTGCTGGTGCCTGGCTTTAATTTCTCCTCTGTGAGCAACTAGTGCTTTTAGTTTGATGGTGTTTCCTGGAGGCGCAGCAGGTACTTAAGAGTCCCACGTCCCCTGGCAGGGAGGGGAAGAGTTCTCTAGGAGCTCCATTGGTAGACCCAAGGCTGGGCCCACAAGAGTGGGAGGGCACTGGGAAGGGGCTGGGAGATAAACCTGTTCTGTCTTCAGCAAACCCAAGTGGAAAGAGGCTTACACTGTGCCTACAGTTCAAACCCAGGCTGAGGCCCTGTGAGAAATGAGAGTTCTGCAGACAGCAGGGGAGCTGACAGACCACAGTCAGGCCTGGCAAGGGAAGGAGATGGGGCCTCTGGTGCAGGCCTGTGTGCTTGTTTGTCTATCCTCCTGGCCTAGCCTGTCTTTGTGGTCCTGGCACACAGGGATAACTTACTGTGTGTGTGTTATGGAGTTGTTGGTAAGAATTAAACAAGATTAGGAGGCAAAGAGTAAGCTCTATGCTGCTCGGACCTAACATGGACTCCTGGGGTCAGTTCCTTAGGTACTTCTGGTAAGGGCTATTGTATTAGCTTTCTACTGCTGCTATAACAAAGATTTAGTGGTATAAGACAACATAAGCTAGGACTTGAACTCAGGGCTTGTGCACTGTTCCTGAGCTTTTTTTAACCCAAGGCTGGCACTCTTAACACTTGAGCCACACTTCCACTTTTAGGCTTTTTGGTAGTTAATTGGAGATAAAGAGTCTCACGGACTTTGCTGCCTGGGCTGGCTTGGAACTGTGATCCTTAGACCTCAGCCTCCTGAGTAGCTAGGATTATAGGTGTGAGCTATTGATACCTGACTTTGTCTACTTTTTTTTTTTTTGGCTAGGCCTGGGGTTTTAATTCATGGCCTGGGAGATGTTCTTGAGCTTCTTTGTGCTCAAGGCTAGTGCTCTACCACTTGAGCCACAGAGCTACTTCTGGGCTTTCCTGAGAAGTTTATTGGAGTAAGAGTCTCATGGACTTTTTCTGCCTTGGCTGGCTTCGAACTACAATCCTCAGATCTCAGCCTCCTGAGTAGCTAGGATAACAGGTGTGAGTCACCAGCACCTGGCTGATCGTCTGCTTTAAGGACTCCTGTGATTGCATTAAGCCCACCTGGGAAATCCCAGCCACTCTCTCCATCAAGTTTTCTCATCTGCACATCTGCAGAGTCCTGTGTGCCATGTAAGGGACCATCCTGACAGTCTGGGAAGAGGACATGAGGACATCTTTTCTGCTTGCCACAGCACCCAGCGTGAGGCCACCTCTGATCCCCAAATTCATGCCTTCTCTTTCTAGGGAGAGATCTGTACAGTCCCCTGTGCAGCAGGGACCTATGGCCCCAACTGCTCCTCTGTCTGTAGCTGTAACAACGATGGCATCTGCTCCCCCATTGATGGCTCCTGCACTTGCAAGGAAGGTAAAGTGCCTGGCCCAAGCCCCGCCCCCAGGCCCAGGTGATTGGTCCACTTCAGGCTCTGGCAAGGCAGCTTCTTCCCACCCCCCCCACCCCCCACCCCTCCCATTTCTGTTCAGGGCCAGGAGACCTGTACAGGTTCCAGTTAAGGAAAGCCAGTGCCAGGAACCTGGATGGCAGGAATGTGTAAGGGAGAGACAAAAGGTGGAACTTCCAGATTCTGGGGGTGAGTGGGGGAGGGGGGAGGTTTAGGTGGTAAGAGTTTGACATGAACTGGGAAGAGGGGTTGGAGCAGTGTCTGTGTTCCAAAAAAGACACAGCCACTGCCATCAGACTGGGCCAAGCTGGGTGGAGTGGTATATACCTGGGATCTTAGTACAGGGGAGGCTGAGAGAAGGATCTGAGTTTGAGGCTAGCCTGGGCTACACAGTGAACAAAGCCTTGTCTCAAACCCGAAACAAAGCTGGTGCCAGTGGCTCATACCTATAATCCTAGCCACCGAGGAGGCTGAGATCTGAGGATCACAGTTCGAAGCCAGCCCCAGGCAGGAATGTCCATGAGACTCTTGTCTCTATTGAACCAGCAAAAAAAGAAAAAAAGAGTTGGAAGTGGAGGCGTAGCCCACATGATACAGCACCAGCCTTAAATGGAAAAAAAAGGTAGGAGGGGGCGGGGAAATAACGCACAGGCTTTGAGCTCAAACCCTAGTACTTATCCTCCCAAAAAAAGCGTAGTCCCAGCCAAAGAAATAGCAGGAGAACTTGCTGCCTGGCTTCTGTGCTGTCCCTGGTTCTTGGCCCAGGTTCTTGGGCTAATCTATCAGTGGCCAGCTTCCAGGAGCCAGGGAGCTGCAGGATGAGCCCCTGTGTGACAGGTAGAGGAGGGGAGGAGGGAAATACATGGAGGTGAGGGCAGCTGCCAGTGGCCACTTCAGAGAAGGGGCAGCTGCCTGTCACCAACCAGCACAGGGTCCTGATGAGCTCAGCTGAGCCCCCAAGGGAGAAGAAACCCCACCACTCTGTTCTGTGCTGGGACCCAGCTGCCTGCAGCAGAACAGACTCTTTACAAGAAGCCCTGGGCCCCAAGCTCTCCAGACCTCTGTGCTGTGTTCTCCATGGAACATGGGGAAAGAACAGCACACAGACAGAAAGCCCTGCAGAACCTGCAGAAGTGATGGTGTCCCCTTTCTGTTTCCCCCCTCCCCCCAGGATGGCAGGGCCTGGACTGTTCCCTGCCATGTCCCAGTGGGACATGGGGCCTGAACTGCAGCGAGAGCTGTACCTGTGCCCACGGGGCATCCTGTAGTCCCACCGATGGCTCCTGTGCCTGTACCCCAGGCTGGCTGGGGGAGAGCTGCGAGCTGCCCTGCCCGGTGAGTTCCCTCCCCCCCCTCTCCCCTGGGGTGATCCTGGGAAATGCACACAAGAGAGCACTGGACGAGGTGGCGATGTCGGCTTCAGGTTACAGCTGCTCCTTACCTCTGAGTGGGTTTTTGCTTTCCCTACCTTGGCCTCAACCTGCCCATCTGTAAAATGGCAAGTCTTGGGCAGACAGAGGTGCCGCTCTTCCCACTGTTCATGATCAGCATGGTTGTCAGCTGTGGCCCGGGGGTCATTCTCAGAAGGGCTCTGGACAGTCCCCAAGCCAGCAAAGACGCTGTGTCCTGACAGGCCATGTCCAAGTGATATCCTGGCAATGTCTGTTTCAAGGGTCTGTACTTCCCTGATCTGGTTTTGGGGGTATTGTCCAGCAAGAACCACCCAGACTTGCTCACTGCGGGTCTCCATCTTTTAAGCCAACTGCTGTGAAATTGAATGCAGATGGGCTCCTGCGTCCTGGATTCAGATCCTGACTTTGCACATCCTGTTACCTTATAAGCACATGACCAGTGATGGTTACCATTTTCTTCTCCCCCTCCCCCCCCAGGAGCAAAGAATAAGCCACAGTCGGCCCCCACAGTGGATGTGTGTCATAACCAACGACATGCGTTATCATTGACTGTTTATGATGCCAGTACTTGGGTCTGAACTCAGGGCCTGGACACTCTCCCTAAGCTTTTTCACTCCAGGCTGGCGTTCTACCACTTGAGCCATGCCTCTGCTTTTGGCATTTTGGTGGTTAATTAGAGACAAGCATCGCACTGACTTTCCTGCCTAAGTTGGCTTTGAACTGTCATCCTCAGACCTTAGCCTCCTAAGTAGCTAGGATTACAGGCGTGAGCCACCAGTGCCTAGCTTCATTGACAGTTTAATATTAACCAAATTGTCATCATTACATTACTAATAATCTTAGCCCTCTTAACCTAGCATTAAAAAGTGGGGTAAAGGCCGGGCGCTGGTGGCTCATGCCTGTAATCCTAGCTACTCAGGAGGCTGAGATCTGAGGATTGCGGTTCAAAGCCAGCCCGGGCAGGAGAGACCGTGAGACTCCTATCTCCAATAAAAACCACCAGAAAACCAGAAGTGGCGCTGTAGCTCAAGTGGTAGAGCGCTCGCCTTGAGCTGAAGAGCTGAGGGACAGCGCCCAGGCCCAGAATTCAAGCCCCACGACCGACAAAAAAAAAAAAAAAAGTGGGGTAAGACTATCATCTTCTTCTCCAGTCCCCATTCTCTTGTTAATATGACTAAATAGTTATTTGGAGTGACTTTATGCCCATTTTATTTTATTTATTCATTTTTTTTTGGGGTCCGGTCGTGGGGCCTGAACTCTAGGCCTGGGCGCTGTCCCTCAGCTCTTCAGCTCAAGGCTAGCGCTCTACCACTTGAGCCACAGCGCCACTTCCGGCTTTTTTCTTTTTGCTTATGTGGTGCTGAGGAATCGAACCCAGGGCCTCAGGCATGCAAGGCAAGCGCTCTACCACTGAGCCACCTTCCCAGACCCCTTATTTTATTTTTTGTGCCAGTGTTGGAGCCTCACACTCTCCCTTGTCTTTTTTTACACTCAAGGCTGGCACTCTACCACTTGAGCTTCACCTCCACATCCAGCTTTTTGCTAGTTAGGTAGAGATAAGAGTCTTCTCCGATTTGACTGTGCAAACTGGCTTGGAGCATGATTTTCCTATCTCAGCCTCCTGAATAGCTAGGATTATAGGAGTGAGCCACCAGCCCCGGGGGACATGACCCTCTTAATGCCCAGTTGTAAGAGGCCTTCCCACTGTGTTCCTCTTGTGGGGGTTGTGGCTCAGTTCTGTCATCCCAAACCAATAACAGCCTGGAACTTTCTGGTCATTTCTCTCCCCTCTGCTCCGCAGGATGGCACATTTGGGCTGAACTGCACCGAACGTTGTGACTGCAGCCATGCTGATGGTTGCGACCCTGTCACGGGCCACTGCTGCTGCCTAGCAGGATGGACAGGTAACCTCTGCCCAGCCAGAGGACCTGGGTCCTGTGGAACTGGACCCTTGCTCTTATACCTCTCGATAAACTTTTTGTTGTTATTGTTGATCGTGCTACTTGAACTAAGGGCCTGGGCTTTTGTGCTCAAGGCTAGTGCTTGGAGCCACAGCTCCACTTCCTCCTCTGATCCTTGGTTTTCTCATAAAGAAAATGGAAGTTAGACACCAGCGGCTCACACGTACATAATCCTAGCTACTCAGGAGACTGAGATCTGAGGATCATGGTTCAAAGGCAGCCAGGGCAGGAGAAAGTCTATGAGACTCTTATCTCCAATTAACCACCAGAAAACTGGAAATAGAGCTGTGGCTAAAAGGGGTCTCTACCACTTGAGGAAAAACAAAGTAAAAACAGAGCATGAGGCCCTGAGTTCAAGCCCCAGTACCAACATAACAAATAAAACAATGGCAAGGTACTAGTGGCAAATGCCTTTAATCCTAGCTTTAATTTTTCATTGTCTTCATTTTGAGGGAGCTGACCAGATTTTAATGACATTACACACAGTTTTTAAAGCACTAAACTTAAGTCAGCTACCAAAAACCCCACACAGACACAGACACCTCCATCACTGGAGATAGAACTGCCAGATTCTCACTGGGAAAGGGGGTCAATCCCTCCCTGCCGCATCCCTTACCCTGGGAAGCCCCTACCCTGTTTCCCAGAGAGCAGCAGCAAGTCTCAGCAAAACTGAGCCATTCCAGGGAAGGAGGGAAGCCTGGAGGGTAAGGAGAGCGAGCTGTGCCCCTCCCTGGCGGCCTCTTCCTCCCTTCCCCTCCTGGCCTGCCAGGTGGGCCTGTGCACTGGGCTTCAAATTGGTCCCACTGCTACTCTTCTTGCTACTGCTGCATGTGTGCTGGGATCTAAGTCTTTCTCCCTCTTTCTTTCTTGGGCCTCTGTTTCCTTGTAACAAGGCAGGCATGATTTTTAAACGAATTCTGCTCTTCTTAGAGCCTCAGATAGTCATCTTCCAAAGCCCCAGCTAGTCTCCTGAGTCTCTGTTCTGTTCATCTAATGCCTAGCAGACTAGGAGCCTTTCTACCTGGGAGGAAAGCCCGCCTCAGAGCTGGGCATCCAGCCTAGGGCCTTTAAAATTCTTTCTTAGCTTTCAGGCTGAGATTTCCTCTACTTAAGCTCAGAAGGACCATAGATCTTACCTTACCCCCTGACCCTCTCCCCCTCCCTCCCTCCCTCTTTTTCTTTCCCCCTTTCCCTTCCTCTCCCTTTCTTTCTCCCCTTTCTTTTCCCTCTCTAATTCTCCCCCTCCCTCCCTCTTTCTCTCTCCTTTCCTCCTCCCTTTCTCTCTCTTTCTCCTCCTTCCCCACCCAGGTACTGTGGCTTGAATTCAGGGCTTCACACTCTCATTTGGCATTTTTGTTCACAGCTGCTGCTCTACCACTGGAGCCCTACCTCTACTTCTGGCTTTTTGCTGCTCAATTGGAGATGAGTCTCCAGGATTTGTCTGTCCCAGCAAGCTCACAATACATTACACAATCCTCAGATTTCAGCCTTCTGAGTGGCTAGAATTACAGGTGTGAGTAACGGCACCTGACTTACTTTTCCTCCTTACTGGGATATTCTATCCAGGCCCTTAGACGCTACTAATTGTCAAACCGAGGCTCCTTAAAATCAGTTTGTTGGGTTCTGACCCATTTAAAACAAGTCAATAATAGTAGATTTCTTCTATACATAAGTGTATATATGATGCAACATATATGCATTATATTGAGGACTATGATCTAAAGAATCCGAAAGAGCCTACCCACTCTGCCCAGGTGACTGCAATGGGGCCCAGCAAGGCCCAGCAGCCCTGGGGCTAACACAGATGCGCCTCCTAAGGGCACTCACTACTCATGTCCACTTCTCCTGGGGCAGGTGAGGTGGAAAAGGCAAGGGCCACCATCATCTTCTGTCTGGTCACGGTGTCTTCTCCCTGCTCTCCTCCACTCACCACTGACTCATGGCTGCCTGTGACCCCCAGGCATCCGCTGCGACAGCACGTGTCCCCAAGGTCGCTGGGGCCCCAACTGCTCCATCTCCTGCAGCTGTGAGAATGGCGGCTCCTGCTCTCCGGAGGATGGGAGCTGCGAGTGTGCCCCTGGCTTCCGAGGACCCTTGTGTCAGAGAAGTAAGTCTGAGCCCCCCCCCCCCCCCATCGAGGGACCTCAAGACCTCACACAGTGCCTCATTCCCCAGCCCTTCCCAGTGGGAGCTAGTGCTGGCCTGGGGGCTGGGCTCCGGGGGCTAGTCCCCTTCTTTCTCTAGTCCTCTCCCTGCACAGGCTGCTGTTCATGGACCAGATAGCTCCTTGGTAGAAACAGGACCAAACTGCAGGGCCTGTCTAAATTACCAGGCCCAGTAGTGCATACCTGTAATCCTACCTTTTTTTTTTTCTTTTCCTTCTTCTGGTGTGTGTGTGAGTGCCGATACTGGGGCTTCAATTTTGGGCATCATGCTCTCCCTTAGCTGTTTCCCTCAAGACTAGTGCTGTATCACTTGTATCAGCCTCTACTTTTGGCTTTCTGCTAATTCACTGGAGACCAAGGACTCCTGGATTTGTCTGTCTAGGCTTGTTTTGAACAGTGATCCCCAGATCTCAGCTTCCTGAGTAACTAGGACTACAGGTGTGAGCCACCAGTGCCTGGCAATCCCAGTTACTTGGATGCAAAGGGAGGGGAGGGGAATCATGGCCAGAGGTAGCCAAGGACTAAATTGCAAGAGCTTGTCTGAAAAAGAAATTAAAGCAAACAGTGTGGCTCAAATGGTGAAATACTTGCAAACTTGAAATCTTCAAACCCCAATAACACCACAAGACAATAATAATAATAATAAAATAAATGAATTGGGCCTTCCAAGTAGAAGATACAACTCTTTACACTCTGTGTGTGTGTGTGTGTGTGTGTGCGCGCACACGCGCATGTTGTAGACATGTGTGTGTACACCAATACTGGCGCTTGAATTGAGGCCCTTGCACTCTTGCTCAAGTTTTCTTGGTGCTCAAGGCTGGTACTCTATTACACGAGCCACAGCTCCACTTCCAGCTTTGTTTGGTAGTTAATTGGAGATAAGAGTCCCAGACTTTCCTGCCTGGGCTGGCTTCAAACCTGGGATCCTCAGATCTCCAGCCTGAGCAGCTAGGATTACAGGTGTGAGCCACCAGCACCAGGCTTCTTCCCACATTTTTGAAGCCCTCCCTTTGTCGCAATGTGCAACAGAAGGGGTGGCCCGACTGCGTGGGGCTCCCATCGGGTTACTGATCACCCTCTCCCTTGCACCTTCAGTCTGCTCCCCCGGATTCTATGGCCATGGCTGCGCCCAGCCTTGCCCCCTCTGCGTGCACAGCAGCGGGCCTTGTCACCACATCAGCGGTGTCTGTGAGTGCCTCCCGGGCTTCTCTGGAGCCCTCTGCAATCAAGGTACTGTCACCAGCTGGGGAAAGCACAAGGCAGGTAGGGAGGGAAGATGATTGAGTACCACATGGCAGGAGACAGTGAATGCCATTATGTAGTGAAAGGGACAGGCACAGAGAGGTAAAATGACACCTGTGGTCTCAAGGCTAACAAGTAGCAGAAATGAATTTGGACTCTGAACACCCTTTGTCAGAAGCAGGGAAAATAAACTGGACAGTGGTGGCTTACACCTGTCATCCTAGCTATTCAGGAGGCTGAGATCTGAGGATCGAGGCTCAAAGCCAGCCATGGCAGGAAAGTCCTTGAGATTCTTAACTCCAATTAACCACCAGAAAACCAGAAGTGGCGCTGTGGCTCACGTAGGACAGTGCTAGCTTTGAGCAATAGAGCTCAGGCTTAACCCCCAGGTCCTGATTCAAGCCCCATGTCCCACCCAAAAAACAAAAGGCAGGGGAAAATGACATGAACAGGTACCCAGCAGAAGAGATACCAAGTGTCTGTGCTGAGTGTCAGGCACAAAGAAAGGCAAGAGAAGCTGTGGGAGCATGGGGACAGCTCTAGCATTGGCTGGAGACAGACTTCCCTGGAGCTCAGGATGCTGCCCTACCTCACCCTTGACTCCATACCGTCAAGTCCAGGCTGCCACCACCCTCAGCAGGAGTTGGATAGGGAGGTAAAGCTCACCAGTATTGGTTTGCCAACACACCAGCCATCTATATAGAAAAGCCATGCTTTGTTTTCTGTTTTGGGGGGAGGAGATGTTTATTATGTAAAGTAATTGTACAAAAACATGAGGGGTTTCAATTCAACATATCCGTTTATGAGGATAATGCATCTTGATCACTGTCGCCCTGGAAATGCCATGCTTTGTAATGTCTGCAGATTTCTGAACGATAAAATATTCCCGCCATGGCTTCAAAGTGCCAGTAGTTATTATTTGTTTATTTATTTTGTGCTGATACTGGGGCTTTTCACTCAAGGCTGGTGCTCTACCACTTGAGACACACAGCTCATCTTCTGGCTTTGTAGTAGTTAATTGGAGATAAGAGTCTCATGAATGTTTCCTGCCTGGGTTGGCTTCAAATGGTGATCATCAGATCTCAGCTTCCTGCATAGCTAGGATTATAGGTATGAACCAATGGCACCTGGCTATACTAGTGGTTTTTGTGTGTGTTTGTGCAGGTGTGCACATGTGCTGATCCTAGGCTTGAACTGAGGGCCTGGACTCTGTCCTTGAGTTTTTGTACTTAATGCTGGCACTCTACCACTTGAGCCACAGCTCCATATTTGGATTTTTTGGTGGCTATTTGAAGAATAGAGCCTTGCAGACTTTCCGGCCCAGACTGGCTTTGAACTAATCCTCCTATCTCAGCCTGCTGAATATCTAGGATTACAGGCATGACCAGCTCCCAGCTATGCCCCACTGGGTTTTTATGTTTGTTTGTTTTTGCTAGTCCTGGGGCTTGAACTCAGGTCTGGGCCTTGCCCCTGAGCTTCTTTTGCATAAGGCTAGCACTCTACCACTTGAGTCACAGCACTACTTCCAGCTTTTTCTGTGTATGTGGTACTGAGGAATGGAACCCAGGGCTTCATGCATGTGAGGCAAGTGCTCTACCACTAAGCCACATTTCCAGCCCAGTGTTTTAGTAACACCATTCACAAAGATTCCTCACCATTAGCAAGAAGTGGGGAGGCCAAGAGCTGGCCCCCAACACACACTGCTCACATGTGGCTACTTAGAGCCAGATCGTCACATGTGGATGGTCTGGGGAGGTGCAAGGCTGTGCAGGATTTTAGCTGGGCTCCAGGCCATGTAAGTGAAAGGTACAGCTTGGGAGAAGCACAGAGACTGGACCTGGACCTGCCCAGCCAGTCGTGAACGGCTGGAGATGGAAGGGGAAGGTGGCTGATAAAAGTAGGCTGGGGCCTTGAGAACATCTTTGGATATAACCTTGAACACCAGCTGGAAGAATTTAAGGGATCAGAGGTAAATGTAGAGCTTATGGCAACTTACAAGGTCACCTCAGCAAGGATCACATCTGGCCTCTGCTGAAATACTTCTCTTGATGGAGAGCTCACTACCTCTCAGGGGAAACCCATTCTTTTGATGAATTATCCCTGCTGAGCTTGGCTATTTGAGTCGGGGAGGCCTGTTAATATGTATGAGTGGAAAGTTGATTCCACGATGCATTGAGGTCATGAGAAGTTTAGACCCCAGGGAAACAGATGTGACAGTTTCATTTGCTTGAAACCCTCCTAGGAGAGTTTAATCATCACCCGACAGGCTGAGGTTTACTTATTAAACATCAGAGACTCAGCCCGTCAATATAGCTAGGCCCGGTCTAAATTAGGGCCCGGGCAGCCCGAGGAGTCTCTCTCGCATCCTCGTTGTCTGATTTATTGCCCATTGGCCTAATGAGTATTTTCCACATATAGATCTAATAGAGTTTGCTATTAATGGCAACTGCCCTGGTTAAGTCTCAAACCTTGTAAAAAATTGAACTGACACTTTTCTAATGACTGGCTTTCCACCGAGTTACAAATTACAGACACTACTTGTGCAGAATCATTAAACATAGATTAAATCTATAACCAGATGTTTTCTTTGCAAGAGACCTCTATTCCCAGCCATGCTGCCCACCCACCCCTGGCTCGCTCTTGATTCAACTAAGAAGTCGACCAATTAATGTATTAGACTGATCGCATTAGCAGCTCTGCGGGTGAATGTGTCAGTCTTGTGTATGTGAGAAAGACTTCAAAGAAAAGACTGTCCTGATAGAGAATCTTAAGAGTCTGTGTTGGGGGTGGAGATTTAGAGGAGTGGGGATAAGCTCCAGCATCCTGTTCCCCATGGAAATAAGTCTAGGGTTTGGTAGGTTCCCCCATACAAAGCATCTCCCAGAGGCAAGGAAAGGGGGATGGGTGATTTTTGATTTTTCTGCAAGCTTTGAAAGGTGAGTCTGAGCTGCAAACAAGGACGGCGTGGTCATCCTGCCCATGAGAACCTGGCTGGAAATTAGGGAAACCCTTAACCAGGTTTGGTTCCTCTCCCTGTTTCAAAGGCCAAGAAACAGACAGGCTGATGTAGTTGGCTCAAAGGTACTGAGCTGCCAAGGCACTGTTCTACTCCTAGCTACTCAGGAAGCTGAGATCTGAGGTTCAAAGCCAGCATGGGCAGGGGAAAAAAAATCCATGAGATTCTAATCTCCCATGAACCACCAAAAAGCCAGTAGAGCTGCAGCTCAAGTAGTAAAGTGTCAGCTTGGAATGAAGAAGCTAAAGAATAGCACCCAGGACCTGAGTTCAACACACACACACACACACACACACACACACACACACACACACACACACTGTATGAGCCAGTAAGTTGCTGAACATTTCCAGTGCCTCAGTTTCCCCATCTGTAAGGCGGTGTTAGCCACAGAATAATGAGGACATATAATAATGACAGCATTACAAAGTTAAGTGAATTAATGTTTGGGAAACATTTGCACAGTGTTGGGGTGAAGCTCAGGGCCTTGCCCAGAGTTGTACTGTCACTGAGCTATACCCCCAGCTTATGTGAAGCACTTCTATCCATCATGGCTTGGGTAGGGTACAGCAAGGGGCAATGGGAAGCAAAGGCACTGGACAGAGCACAGAGGAGCCACGCCCACCCCCACCACTTCCAGCCTGTCAAGTGATTCCACCCGCATGCCCAGCCCCTTCCTCTGTAAGAGCTCCTAACAGTTTCCTGCCGGCTACAAGGATGGATATGAGGGGCACAAAGCAGTTAGGTGCAGAAGGATGATCATGGCTGCGGCCCAGAAACCTCCGGGCACAGCTGTGGGTGGTGGCATGTGTGGGAGGGCAGGTGCCAGCATGTACTGTGCCCACAGTGTGTGCTGGAGGGCACTTTGGGCAGGACTGTGCGCAGCTCTGTTCCTGTGCCAACAACGGGACCTGCAGCCCCATCGATGGCTCCTGCCAGTGCTTCCCTGGATGGATTGGCAAGGACTGCTCACAGGGTAAGCCCCTCACCCTCACTGCCCACCCCGTGAATGCTCCAGACAGAACCTCTCTGCCCTGACACCTCCCACTTCAGGGCTGAAATCTCCCACTGCAGATAGCATTGCCACCTGATTCCCATTTTGCTCCCTAGCTAACGTTACTAAGACTGACCATGCATATTGTTAAATGATGGTGTTAAAGATATTGATATTGTTGACAGTCCCGTTAAAGATATTGATATTGTTGACAGTCCCATTAACGATATTAATCCCAAGAATTAATACTCCATTAGCATCTGTGCAAGGAGCAGTCTGAGTTAGTTTGTACTGGGGCAGAGGATCAAGGTCTGGCATGCTGGAATTGTGTGTGTGTGTGTGTGTGGCACGCACGTGTGCGTGCGTGCTGATTTAGGAGCTTGAACCCAGAGCCTGGGCATTGTCCCTAAGCTCTTTTGCTCAAGGCTAGCACTCTACCACTTGAGCCACTGAGTTCCACTTCTGGCTTTTTAGTGGTTCATGAGAGATAAAGAGTCTCATTTGCTGCCCAGGCTGGCTTTGAACTGAGATCATCAGATCTCCACCTCCTGAGGGGCTAGAATGACAGACATGAGACACCAGCACCCAGCCATGCTAGAATTTTTATGATGATATTGATAAATGATGTCCTGGCCATTCCAGGCCTGGATAGTGCATGTGTTCAGACTAGGTGAGCCCGGTCTGATGCACAGATAATAACCCCCCAGTTTAAGGGGGAAGGGACCTAGTCTCTGCGCTGTTGGATAACTTACCATCCTGATGGTGAGACCCCATCAGTCCCAGTTAGATGGCTGGGCCTGTGGGAAAGTTGGCACACACTGTAAGCTAGTGTTTACCCACATGCTTCAAATCAGCCGGTCCCTCTAGAGGGGACACACAGGAGGGCCCCCCCAGGCTGGGCCACCAAGAGGCAAATAAAGGAACTCTGGGATGACAGCCTCAAGCCCTTGACAGCCAGGAAAGGTCATCATGTCCATCCTGGCATCCTGGATCTGACGCCAGATTCCCCTTCCTTTCTCCACCTTGCCTTCCTCTTCTGCATCCCCATCCCCCACAGCATGCCCACCAGGCTTCTGGGGCTCTGCCTGTTTCCACACGTGCAGCTGTCACAATGGAGCCACCTGCAGCGCAGAGGACGGGACCTGCCACTGCACCCCGGGCTGGACGGGACTTTTCTGCACCCAGCGTAAGCCCCGCCTCCTGGCTTCAGCAACTCCCAATCCTGTGCTGCGACCTACTGGCCATCTTGGGCAGAGCCCTTGCCTATGGCCTGTCCTGAGGGAGGGAAGAGTCTGGACTCCAATGTGGGGAGTAGGGGCAGGACTAAGTACTCCAACCCTCAGCCAGACCAGACTCTCCATGCACAGCAAGGAGATGGGGCCTGGCCTTTGCTTCTGAAGCTCCACATACCCCACCAGCATGGTGTGGAGGGTTCAGAAGGCACTGATACAAGTTCTCACTGTAGCCCCTAGAGAAGCTGAGAGGGGCCCAACTGCACCCTACACTTGTTCCATCTTTCCTGCCGCCACTGTGACCTGAGATCTTGTTCCTCCAGGCTGTCCAGCAGCGTTTTTCGGAAAGGATTGTGGGCGTGTGTGTCAGTGTCAGAATGGTGCCAGCTGTGACCACATTAGTGGCAAGTGCACTTGCCGAACAGGCTTCACCGGGCGCCACTGTGAACAGAGTAAGCCAACCCAACCGGATCCCGGAGTTGGGACCTAGTCTTGACTTTTGTGGCTACTGCTAGGGAAAGACTGAAATCATGCCTGAAGAATCACTTCCTCTACTTGGGGCCATGGACCTTGAAGGCAGAGCAAGTGTGAAGAGGTGATGAAGGACTAGAGGAAGGCCAGATCTTGTTTTGTTTTTTGCCGTCCTGAGGCTTGAACTCAGGGCCTGGGCACTGTCCCTGAGCCTCTCTGTGCTCAAGGCTAGCATTCTACCACTTGAGCCACAGCGCCACTTCTAGGCTTTTCTGTGTATGTGGTACTGAGGAATGGAACCCAGGGCTTCGTGCATGCTAGGCAAACACTCTATCACTAAGCCATATTCCCAGAGCTCAGTCATCATTCTTTTGTTTCTTTTCAGGGGAGGGTATCGGTCCTGGAGCTTGAACTCAGCCTGGGCACTGTCTCTGTGGTTTTGTGCTCAAGGCTAGTGCTCTACCACTTGAGCCATAGCTCTACTTTTAACTTTTCTGGTGGTTAATTAGAGATAAATCTCATGGACTTACTTGCCTGGGCTGGCTTTGAACTTTGATCCTCAGATCTCAGCCTCCTGAGTAGCTAGGATGACAGGTGGGAGCCTCCGGTGCCTGGCTCTTGGGTTCTCTTTAAAGCCCTTGTGGCATCCAGTCCAGGGAGAGTGCTGGTTAGAGGTGCTGGAGGAAGGTGTAGGGAGAGGAAGCTCTGCCCTCTCCTCTGTTGCACCCTGCCCTACCAGGGCCATATACTCTGTCCATCCTCATATGCTGGGTGCAACACCGTTGGGCTATAGGTAAATAGGCTTTAACTCTGAGTTGGAATATACCTATGGCCGCCCCTCCACAGAGCAGGAGGGGAGGATGGTTGCATCTCACTGCCTGCCCTCTGCCTGCCACACAGGATGTGCCCCAGGAACCTTTGGCTACGGGTGTCAGCAGCTGTGTGAGTGCATGAACAACGCCACCTGTGACCACGTGACTGGCACCTGTTACTGCAGCCCTGGATTCAAGGGAATCAGGTGTGACCAAGGTAATATGCAGGGGGCAGAGTACCGGGGCAAGGGCTGTGGGAAAGGATCCCATGCGGACTCCAGAAGTTCCTACCACGTGAGTGGGTTTCTAAGGACTCCTCCCTCTATTCACTCAAGAAGGGAGGGTTGGGAGAGAGCAGAGTTTAGTGTCATGGCTTCCCTGTGCTCATCCCTGGTGAGCTTCCCCCTAAGACAAGCCAGGGCTGACTAGCTGTCAGGTTTTTCTTGTGCCTGTGAAGTGTTCTTGGGCAAGTCATTTCCTTGAAGATAGCCATGCCCATGCAGTCTGTGGCTGTGATCACTGAGAATAATGAGGTAGTTGCATAGCCCCACTCAGCCAGCTGCTGACGGCCAAGGAGGGGTCTGGCAGCTGGGGAGCCAGAAGGTGACCCCTACACTGGACCAAGCAGCAGCAGAGGGTCTAGGCCTATACACATATAGACACAGGCAGCACGCTAGCTAGTATTGGATGTTCATGACTTCTTGGTGGTGGTAGGTTATGGTCCCTTATTTATTTTTATTATGAAGGAGATATAGAGGGGTTACAGTTACATAAATCAGGTAATAAATACATTTCTTTTTGAGTAATGTCACCCCCTTATGGTCACCCCCTTATGGTCCTGATCTTACAATTTACCAGGTCCCACAGCTGGTAAGCAGAGGGGTAGATTCTGGTTTTTTCCTGACTGCCAATTATTTTATGATCTTGGATGAGTTACATTAACACATTGCTTTTTTTCATCAATGGAAAAAGAAATCATGAAGGCCTTTGTGTAAGCATGTGTGCCAAACCTGGGGCTTGAACTCAGGGCCTGGACACCATCCCTGAGCTGCTTTTGCTCAAAACTAGCTCTCTACCACTTCAGCCACAGCTCTACTTCTGGCTTTTTGATAGTTTACTGGAGATAGTCTCATGGACTTAACAACTGGGCTGGCTGTGAACTGTGATCCTCAGATCTCAGCCTCCTGAATAGGATTACAGGCATGAGCCACTGGCACCCAGCTGTAAAGGCTGTTTTCATTGTTTCACATACATACAACTTTCTCCCCTTGTTAAGAGTTTAAGCAACTGAGGCACAGTAAGGGTTGGGGTCACGTGGGTTTTCTAACTCCAGATCCAGGAGAGGGGAAGAGCGAGCAGGCTGGCCCTAGGCTCAGATCCTCCCTCTCCCCGCAGCTGCCCTCATGATGGAGGAGCTGAATCCGTACACCAAGATCAGCCCAGCTCTGGGCACAGAGCGGCACTCGGTAGGTGCCGTCACGGGCATCGTGCTGCTCTTGTTCCTAATCGTGGTGCTACTGGGCCTATTCGCCTGGCGCCGGAGGCGACAGAAAGAGAAGGGCCGGGACCTGGCTCCCCGTGTCTCCTATACCCCTGCCATGAGGATGACCAGCACCGACTACTCCCTGTCAGGTAAGCTGAGTGTGGTACTCCCCATGCCTCGTCCACACACATAATGCAGAAGGGCCACCTCGTGTGTGTGGAGGGGGGGCACTGGGGGTTACTGTGGATGGCACAGTTAACCTCTGCTGGATCATCATGAGGATAGGGAACAGGGTGTTTCCTGCAGCCTCAGCTGAGCAGCTGTCGTAGGAGGCCCTGGTAGTGGAATTAAGGTAGCAAAGTTTGACCAGCAGTAGGACAATGTGGGAGGAAGCTGGAGGGGGTCAGCCTGGGGCAGCTGGCCAGATGCTTCCTCTCCAGTGAGCCCTGGGCTGGTGCTGTGATGACAAAGACAGGCTTAATATAAACAGTAGAAGGCAAAATGCTCTGAACCCTAGAGTCTCTTGGTCACAGACGTCTGCATAGGCCAGCCTGGGTGAGCACAGGATGTTGGCTCTCCCTAGCTGGCTGGCTTCCAGCCTCCTGAACCATTCCTACTAAGTGATGCATGCGGAATGGCAGCACAGACGGAGGTGCCCCAAGTGCAGATCTTGTCCCCTGGGTTTCAGCCAAAGCCAACATCTGCTGTGTGTGTGTGTGTGTGTGTGTGTGTGTGTGTGTGTGTGTGTGTGTGTGTGTGTGTGTGTGTGTGTGTGTGTGTGTGTGTGTGTGTGTGTGTGTGTGTGTGTGTGTGTGTGTGTGTGTGTGTGTGTGTGTGTGTGTGTGTGTGTGTGTGTGTGTGTCTTGGAGGGTGTTCTTCTATAATGAGAACTGAAGGATGGGTTTTCCCATGCATTCCTTGGGCATTCCCCCAGGCCTGTGGAGGTTTTTTTCTGGACTCCTGAGGAACAGGAACAAGGTGCTTTGACCCTAGGAAAGAAGCAAGGGCAAGAGTTACCCCAGACCTAAATGAAAGCCCAGGGGCATGGAAGCCTGTGGAGCCCACATTCCTCCACAGGATGGAAGCATCCCAGGCTCTCTATAGACAGGGGCACAGTGAACTCCAGGAAGCTTGGGGGTAGGGGAGTTTCAGGTGTCACTTTGCAGGGTACAATCAATAAACATCCCAGCCCTTGTACTAATTTTTTTTTGGGGAGTGGGGTGTCTCATGCTAGGGCAGGTATATGATGGAATATGGCACCTTGTTCTCTTCCTAGATTTGTCTCAAAGTAGCAGCCAGGCCCAGTGCTTTTCCAATGCCAGCTACCACTCACTGGCGTGCGGGGGGCCTGCCACCAGCCAGGCCAGCACTCTGGACAGGAACAGCCCCACCAAGGTACCGGGTCCCTGATTCCCCAGCTTCCACTGTTCTTTGAGCCCTCCCCTTTGCTCAGGAAAGAAACGCACCCCCACTTACAAACAGGGAGTCCGGCAAGTATGCAGTCTCCTGGACAGGTCCTTCCCTGACAGCTCCCAGCATAACCTAGCTGATAATATAGCTAGATGTCCTTGGCCTAGTTGTCTCGGTCTGTATGTGAAGATAACGGAGTACACCGTGTAATGTGCCAGAATCTGTATCAAGATGATTGAGAGGCTGGGAAATTACTTTTGTAATCCTAGCTGCTACTTGGGAGGATCAGGGTTCAGAAGCCAGACGAGTAGTAAAGTTCATGAGATTCCCCCTTCTCAACGAATAACGGTGCAGTGACACATACCTAGCATTCTAGCTAAATGGAAGACTAAGATTGGTAGATCATAGTTCCAAGCCAGCGCAAGCACAAAAGTTCAAGAGATTCCATCTCAATGGAAAGAAAGAAGCTGGGCATGGTGGTACAGGCCTATCATCCTAGCTACAACGGGAAGCCTGCCCTCTGGGAGAAGAGATCAGATCTCACAAATAAGTAGGGGGGAAAAAGGCTGGAGCCAAGCGCTGGTGGCTCACACCTGTGCGCCTAGCTAACTCAAGAGGCTGAGATCTAAGGATCCAGTTCAAAGCCAGCCCAGGCAGAAATGTCTGTGAGACTCTTATCTCCATCACAAAAAGCCAGAAGGAAGCAGAGCCGTGGCTCAAGTGGTAGCCTTGAGCACAAAAGCTCAGGGACAGTGCCCAGGCCGAGTTCAAGCCCAGGACCAGCAAAATAAAAAGGCTTGGAGGCCTGGTTCAGTGTGCCTGCCTAGCAAGCACAAGGCCCAAGGCTGAAATCCCAGTACAATACTGCCAAAAACAGAAACAAACATGGCAAGGTGTAATGGATTCATGCTGCACACTCTTTGACATCTACCTACACACATCACACATGCACACACACTCCAAACAGCACGACCACTGGGGGAGTGGACAGACTGGCTTTCTAGAACATCTTTCCTGGGCTGGGGCATAGCATTCATACACCAGCAGCTCTTCAGCACCTTGTGTGCCCTCTGGAGAATGACTACCAGCACTACACATTACATTTCCTGCCAGAGACCTGGGATTATTACAGCCCAAACCCCACAGCAACAGTAACAGACTCAAGGACAGTGGTTGTGGCCACGGTCAGCCTAATCCCTATGAAAGAGGAGCACTGAGTGCCTAGAAGCCCTCAAGTGAGTGTGGCTGTCAGGCTCACTCCATGGCCCACAAACCAGGATTCAGGTCCCCAGGCAAGAAATGATAGCATCAGGCCTTATACAAAGGGCAGCTGTGAGAATGAATGCAAGGAGAGGAAGAACTGAACTGTAAGCCTCCAGACACCCCCCACCCTGGGGCTTGCCCTCCGCCATGGAAAGGGGATTCATACTGCCCAAGTCTCAATCTGGGCTCAGCTGACTTGCTTCCCCACTCAGAACCAGCTTGGTTCAGGCATTCTTGGCTCTTAAGAGGCCCTGCTGCCAGGCACCAGTGGCTCAACACCTGTAATCCTAGCTACTCAGGAGGCTGAGATCTGAGGATCAGGAAAAAGCCAGCTGGGGCAGAAACATCCAAGATTCTTATTTCTAATTAATCACACACAAAAAAAGCCAGAAGTAGAGCTGTAACTCAAATGATAAGAGTGCTAGCCTAAAGCAAAAGTAGCTCAGGGACAACATCCAGGCCCTGAGTTCAAGCCCCAGGGCTGGAACACACAAATATACACAAAGTGGCCTTGATCTTGTCCCTACCCCCTTGCCATACAAAGTCCTCTGGGAATCCCCTAACTGCAGCCTAACAGTTTGGTTGGCTCTGATGTCACTAGCCTCAGGCAACATCTGCTTCTCTTCCCTCAATGGTCCAGGGGTTGGTGATCTGGGGCTGGGCCGAGTGGCAGCTGGGGAGGAGCATTTGGGCCACTAGGTTATTAATGGCTCTCCTACTCTCCAAACAGCTGAGTAACAAGTCCCTTGACAGAGACACAGCAGGCTGGACCCCCTACAGCTATGTGAACGTGTTAGGTCAGTAGTGGTTTCAGTCTGGTCCTCCCTATCATGTCCTCCCCTGTTCTCCCCTGTTGGGAGGCCCTGTCCCAGCTCAAAGGAAGAGGGTTACAGGTTCTAAGCATGGGTTTCCCCCAGGAGAAGGGATATAGGGGGGGAAAAAAAAACCCAGGCCCATTTTGACTGTCATTAGCAACTGAAGCCCAGGGCTGCCTCTATTTCTTTAAGAGTATAGGGAATGGGTAGTTATGCCTGGGGAACTACAGGGGAGATGGCTAGGGCTGGGTTATAAGGACTCCAGATGGAAAAGGAATTCTAACCCAGGCCTTTCCAAGGTACCCCTTTCAAGGGGCTTCTTGCCCTGGTGGGCACCTGTTCTGGTGGAAGTGGAAGTGGCGGGAAGTAAAGGCAGATGGCCTCAGCTGTGGCAGACGCCACAGGCTCCTCCAGCCCAGACTCCTTTGAGTGCTTAGCCAGAGGCCTGGATTCCTTGCAGGCTGCCTCTCCCCTGACCCTGCCTCCTGACTCCTTCTCACCCCTCTCCAGCCATACCAGACCCTGGGAATAATGGCTCCTCCCTGTCATTCCTCTCACTAGACTCCCATTTCCAGATCAGTGCCCTGGAGGCCAGGTACCCGCCCGAGGACTTCTACATTGAACTTAGACACCTCAGCCGCCCCGCTGAGCCACTCTCACCAGGTCAGACCCCCCAGCCCTCCCCCTTACCCCACCCCCCACCCCCAGACCAGGCCCCAGCACCTGCTTTACTCTCCATCCCTGCCCTTTGGACCACCCCCATTGTCCCAGAACTCTTTGCTGTTGAGGCCTCCTTCCTAAAATGATCTAGTCGCCCACCAATGCCCCATCCAAAGAAGGCAGCCTGTATGAAAGCCCCCCATTCATCCTCTGCTCTCACCATGTAGGTGGGTGTGGATGAACTAAGCTACTTTTGGTAGAGGGCACAAGTCATAACTGCACGCCCTACAGCTCTCAAATTGTGACCTAGAAGCACTGAGAAATGACAGGGATGTCAACACCTTTGGGGTTTCTCTGGGCCCTGTTGGTATGGATAAGAGTTGGCTCTCTTGCCCCAAAGCCTAATATCCCCGCAGAGAGACCCCCTAGACCTACCAGTGTTCTAAACTGAGCTCTCTCTCAAACACTAGATTGGGTGGTTGGGTAAAGATCTGGAGAACCTGGGTTAGAATCTATCAATACTCCTTGAGCTCCAACTTGGTATCTTGAGAGAGACTCGGCAAGTCAGACTTGAAATCAGGGCAAGGAATTACAAAAGGAATGAATGCAGCCAGCACTGATGGCTTATGCCTGTAATCCTAGCTACTCAGGAGGCTGAGATCTGAGGATCGTGGTTCAAAGCCAGCACAGGCAGTAAAGTCTGTAAGACTTTAACCACCAGAAAACCAGAAGTGGTGCTATGGCTCAAAGTGGTAGAGAGTTAGCCTTAAGCAAAAGAACTTGCAGAGACAGTGCCCAGCCCGAGTTCAAGCCCTGTGACAAACAGAAAAAAAGAATGAACAAAGAACATGGCTTTTCTAGGTCATCAGCCTGAGCTGAGGCTCCCACTGGCTGTAAATCTCAAGGAGAAAGTGAGCATCTCTACTAATCCCTGAAGTTCCTTGGCACTGGTAGCACTGGGAATCAAGAGTCTGAATCATCTACTTTGGGGCAGGCATGGGAAGCAAGGAATTTAAGCCCAGGCCAAGCAGGCTGTGTTATTTGTTGTGGATCCCTTGAACAGTAAGGCACTCAATGAGGCGCCACCCCTCAACACTATATGGTATCTCTGGCCAGAATGGGAACATCCTTTGGACTCAGGCCAGATTCCTCTCTGCTTTACAGACCTCAGCCCACAACCACAGGAGCGAGAGTACCAGCCACTGTCATTTGTTAGCTCACACGCAGGCAGAATGCTAGTAGGGCAGCATACTTGGAGGAGATCTGAGCTTTAACTGCAACTCAACTTCACATTTGCTGGTATGGACTTGAACAAGTTTCTAACACTTGTTTCATAAAAAGGAAAAAAAAAAAAGTTAAGAGCTTGGTGCTGGTGGCTCACACCTATAATCCTAGCCATTCAGGAGGCTAGGATCTGAGGATGGTGGTTCAATGCCAGCTCAGACAGGAAAAGTCCAGGAGACTCATCTCCAATTAACCACTAGAAAGCCGGAAGTGGAGTTTTGCCTCAAGTAGGAAAGGACTAGCCTTGAGTAAAGCAGCTCTAGGGCAGTGCCCAGGCCCTGAGTTCAAGCCGCAGGACCAGTACACACACACACACACACACACACACACACACACACACAAAGTTAACAGCCTCACTGTTCTCCTTCAGGGAGGGCAAAGGAAGCCCTTGCCAACAATGAAGGGCCAAACAGATGGCAGCATTACAAACCATTGCAGTCATATTTCCAAAGGGTACAGGTAGCCTATAGCCCTTCTAGAAAAACCTGGGCCTTGTTCTGCTGTGTCACTCAGTAATATGTTGTATAAGGCAGATGCTCCGAGTGAACCCCTATAAACCAACTTGAGAGTCACATGGAAGAGGTATCCAGACAGCAGTGGTTGGTCTTCAGTGTCAGGAACCTGGGAAAATGCAGCCAAACTGTACTTTAGTAAGCACTTGCTGGATGCCTTTTTTGGTATCCTGTCCTCAGTTCAGCACTGGGGAATAAAGGAGGGAGGGACTTCGCTTTTTCTGAGCCACTCATTAATGTCTCAACCTGGGAATGTCAGACTGTTTTGTTTTTCTGGGATCACCAGTAGCAGAGAATACAAGCTTGGCTCAGGAAGCTTGAAAGCTCTGCTTCTTGGTGAAGCTCAAGACCAGGCATTGTGGGAGCCTGGGAAAAGATAGCACAGTACAGCACAGGGTAGAAACAAATTCTTGGAGTTGAAAACCATTGGCAGTAGGTGCCACTGGTTCACACCTATAATCCTAGCTACTCAGGAGGGTGAGATCTGAGGACTGGGATTCGGAGCCAACTTGGGCAGGAAAGTCTGTGAGACTCTTCTCTCCAGTTAACCACCAGAAAGCAGAAGTGGCGCTGTGCCTCAAAGTGGTAGGGTGCTAGCCGTGAGTGAAAAAACTCAGAGACAAGCAGGGCGCTGGTGGCTCACACCTGTAATCCTACCAACTGAGGAGGCTGAGATCTGAGAATCACAGTTCAAAGCCAGCCTGGACAGGAAAGTCCATGAGACTCTTATTTCCAATAAGCCACCAGAAACCGGAAGTGGCGCTAAGGCTCATGTGGTAGAGCACTAGCCTTGAGCTGAAGAGCTGAGGGACAGTGTTTAGGTCTAGAGTTCAAGCTCCATGACCGACAATAACAAAAACCTCAGGGACAGCACCCAGGCCCTGAGTTCATGCCCCACCCAAAAAAAAAAAAGTCTCAACTATATGCAAATAGTCTGCTCCTCTCCCCCTAAATGGCAAGTGAGTAAGCCGGCTATGGATGAGAATGAATGTATTTCCTATAAAGATGACTAATCAAGAACCTGGTGACATGTCTACCTCTCTTTTGAGCCAGGCAGGAGGAGACAGCTGAGGCAGGTGAGAAACTGTCCCCACTTCTATTCCTAAATCCAACAGGACAGAATTAGGAACATCATATCCTTCCCTAACGTTAGTAATTAACTAGTACAGCTGCATCCGTACTCTACAAGTGGAGCCTTGAACTTTGCCTTCGGTATTCCCCTAATGGGAAGGTTGTGTGTGCTAGGGGGCGCTGTAGCTTATGTTAAGAAGTGTTGTCTGCTCAAAATAATTCAGGTTTTCTAGCAATAAACTATTTTCTGGATAAGAGAAAAGGGAAATAAAAGGGGAGGGGAGGATCCCCAGGCAATCTAAAACCTCACCGCCCCATTTTCTTTCCTTATATGATTTGTATGCAGGTGCTTGTGGAATGGACAGACGTCAGAACACATACATTATGGACAAAGGCTTCAAAGGTACAGTATCCAAACCTGATGTCCTGTTACAAAGGGCTTAGCAAGACAAAGAGCACACATCTGGAAATGGCCAGAAATTCTACCTGAGAGACTGCGTATCCCAGTTCCATTTCTAAAAAACAAAACAAAAAAGCTCAAAGACCACAGGACCTGGGGCCACTGGGTAGCTCTGCCCATTAGGAACAATCATAATATTAATGAACTCATCTTTCGGTTTCAGTCGCACTTGCTTAGCAAACGCTTGTGGGGTTTCTTTTATAGATGCCAACTAAATGTCTGTGGAAATGTAGAACGTCATTATCCAACCAATTAGTATGAGTTAAATTGATTATAAAACCTGAAATAAAGTCAGTCTACTTGCCCCCTAAGGCCTCCTGTCATTGTGCTGCACCTGCTGCCTTCCTGGGGCACAAGAAATGAAAATGACACCCACTGTTAATAATGTGTGGCTCTCACCCTAGAGGAAGGCTGCTCCCAAGAGTAGAGAACCCAAGACAGACAACCTAACATTTACAGTAACTTCAAGTTGGATGGATCATCCTTCTAGAAAGTCTATAGGTGAATGAAGCCAAAATGAAAGATCAAGTCCTTCCCCAGTTTAGATCTTAGGTTTAAATGCCAGGAAAGAAACCAGAGGGCTTTGGAATTCTGTCACTTGCTAACAGTGGTTTAAGACCATCAACTCCATGAAATGGGAACCCTTCTGCACGACATCTTAACAATTATATTAAATTAAAACTGTCAGCCCTGGGACAGTCTTCTCACAGACAAGGTTGAGGTAATTTTGCCACTCTTACTCTACTGCCTGTCCTACAAAGTGCCCAATAAGATCAACCTTAGCCCAAGGTATAACCACTTCCCAACCAAGGAGAGCTAGTTGGCTATAACACTTGGGAAGACAGTTTTCAGAGGTAGATGAAGCCAAGCACTGTTGGCTCATGCCTGTAATCCTGGCTACTCAGGAGGCTGAGATCTGAGGATCATGGTTCAAAGCCAACCCAGACAGGAAGGTCCATGAGACTCTTATCTCCAACTAACCACAAAAAAGCCAGAAGTGGAGCTATGGCTCAAGTGGTAGAGAGCTATCCTTAAGCAAAAAAACCCAAGGACACAGTGCCCAGGCCCTGAGTTCAAATCCTTGGATACACACACACACACACACACACACACACACACACACACACACACACACACACACGCACACACACACACACGGGTAAATAAGGGACAGCTGTAGTAGTAAGTAATGTTTTCTCAGCATTTGGTAGGATATTTAAGCCCAAGAGAATTGTTTGAGGACAGGCAGTCACACATATGCCCCCAGCCAGCCTGTGGGCAGTTATTCCCTTGGCAATTTTCTGAGACTTTTGACTTAAACCATCCAAATTGAGACAAGCCCCCTTCCTGTATGTGAGGCTGCACACAGAGAAGACAGGTCTATTATTTCATCACCGTGACCTGGGATCTTAGTTTCTTTCTCCAAGAATGGAAGCCGGGTGTGATGGTACCTGCCTATAATCCCAGTAATTTAGGAGGCTGGAACAGAAGGATTGAGTTTGAGGCCAATCTATAATACAAGGCCAGCCTAGGCTACCTACCAAGACCCAGTTTCAAAACCACAAAACAACGAAGTAGGGATTTGTCCAAAAGATCTCTGAGGGCCTTCCCCGCTCTGAGAACGTACATGACTCAGATGTGGAATAAGCTCAGACAGGCCCAGACACCTAATAAATGAGCACACAACTTTCCTATGTATGTTGTCATCCTGTGATTGTGATTAGAATGGCTGCTTTTCAACTCAAAACCATAAATGTAAAACCAAGCTCAGGAAAGCAGTGCCCCTGCCTCAGCACCATCTCACTCCTGTTTTATAGGCCTGGGCATCTGAGCATCTGTGTGAGCAGGTAAGGCAGCCAGATTTCGTTTCACTATTCTGGCTATAATCATCCCTTAAATGAGAAAAGAGAACTGTGTACCCGAGTATTAAGGGCTAACACATCAGAACAAATGACTTTAAAAAGAAAAATGTCAGCCGGCACCAGTGGCTCACCCCTGTAATCCTACCTACTCAGGAGGCTGAGATCTGAGGATCGTGGTTCAAAGCCAGCCCGGGCAAGGAAAGAGACTTATCTCCAATAAACCACTAGAAAACTGGAAGTGGCACTGTGGCTCAAGTGGTAGAAGCACTCACTTTGAGCTGAAGAGCTCAGGAACAGAGCCCAGGCCCAGAGTACAAGCCCCACAACCACCAACAAAAAATGTCAGTGCCTTACAGAAGTACTTAGAAGACACAGTACAGATGCTGTTGTGTAATTGCTTTATACCACACATTAAACTATTTTCTGAAGTTTCAAAGACAAATCAACTCTTAGAATTGCTAAAAGAGTCCATAGCTGAAAGAGATCTGTGTGGCGTTGACACAGCGCTGTTTGGGGTTTTGGCTTCTTTCTCTTTAAAAAGGAAAATGTCTGGGCACCGAGGACTCGTACCTGTAATCCTAGCTACTTGTGGGGAGGCTAAAATCGGGAGGCTCTTGATTGAAGGCCAGCCTGGGGGAAAGGTGGCGGGCGAGTTCAGTATACCCCTTCTCAGCCAATAGCTGGGCGTGGTAACACACATTTGTCATCCTAGCTAAGACTGGGGTGGGGGTGGCAGGGGCGGATACAGTAGCTCTAGGCCAGCCAAGTCAGGAAAGTTTGTAACAGTCTCAACAAAAAGAAGTTGAGCATAATGATGCACAACAATCATGCCAGCTACAGAAAGAAAGAAACAATATAGGAACGTTGAGGTCCAGGCACATATCTGGAAATGAGATGTCCTCCCTTCCCTCCCTTCCCAATCTCAAAAACAACCAGTGTAAAAAGGGCTGGAGGTTTGGCTCAGCAGTAGAATCTCTGCCTAGCAGGCTCCAAGCTCAAACCTCATTACTTGGCCCCCACCCCCTACCCCCACCTCAAAGGAAGGCATTCCTAACACCATCTCTAAGGCCCTTTCCAGTTCTGACCATTTAAATGTTAGTCAGTGTCCACTCTTTTTCCTGGTACTTACTACTCTACTCACTGTCCTGCGGAGGCTGAGTGAGGCTATTTATTTACACACTAAAACACCCTCTGTCTCCCATTTCTCTACTTTAGCACAGTAAGCTGCTTCATGTTCAGCTTGTCCAGCAGGCATTTCCAAGTGCTCGAGAGGAAACCCTCCATTGTTCTCCAGCACCTTTTTTTGTTTGTTTGGCCAGTCCCGGGCCTTGAACTCAGGGCCTAGGCTCTGTCCCTGAACTTCTTTTTGCTCAAGGCTAGTACTCTACCATTTGAGCCATAGTGCCACTTCCGGTTCTTTCTGAGTATGTGGTACTGAGGAATCGAACCCAGTGCTTCATGCATGCAAGGCAAGCACTCTATCACTAAGCCACATTACCAGTCCTCTAGCATCTTTTCATAGGTGGCTGCCACTTTCCTCCCTGTATGTCTCTCCTTGAAATAACCTTGGGTTCTGAGCTAGGATCCCATAACTCTTTCATAGCCAGTATTCTCCTTCTGACCCCAGACTACCTCCTCCCTCTCCTCATGGCCTGACTCTCTATCTAGAGAAGAATGCTGATTTATGGCTCTGGAAAGGAAAAGGCAGTGTGGCCTCTAGTATCCTAGATGCAAGAGAAAGATGTGTCTGGGTTTCCCTCTACATTTAAGTAAGTGGGACCTTAACTGGGTATCAGTACATAATTTCAGATTTCCACTCACACGGTGGGTTGGGGAAGTCATTTCCTCTCAGGATTTGTGCTTCTTTATTAAGATGTTTGGGTTCATTTTAGGAGCCCCTTGGGTATAGAACTACCTGGTGTTTGCCAGGAAGTAGGAATTAATGTGAGCAAAATGCCAGGGACTTCATTGGACAAAGCCTTCAGATCTCATGCTAATTACAGGCCAACAAGAAGAGACTCCCTCCAACTAGGGTAGCTAGAGTGGAAGCTTCCCTTTCTTTGCACAATGCCCTGAAGGGCAGAGACTGGGGTGGGTATGGGCGGTAAGGATGAGGAAGTATCTAAGCCAGCTGGTTATTCCCCCACCCTCCCCCGCAGACTGGCAGGTGGCTGACTCAGCAGAGCAGAGAGTGGCTTCCAGAAGGTGGAGCTTTCCCACTGGCTAGGCCCTTCCCTGTCCTCTGGAACTTTTCTAAGCCATTCAGTCTCTCCACTAGCTCTTGAACCTAACCTCCATCCCCCACCTAGCTTTTTTTTTTTTTTTTTTTAAATCATTCAGGTGTATCTACTTCTCTAGATAAATACAATTTATGCTTCGTGTGTGTGTGTGTGTGTGTGTGTGTGTGTGTGTGTGTGTGTGTGTGTGTGTGTGTGTGTGTGTGTGTGTGTGTGTGTGTGTGTGTGTGTGTGTGTGTGTGTGTGTGTGTGTGTGTGTGTGTGTGTGTGTGTGTGTGTGTGTGTGTGTGTGTGTGTGTGTGTGTGTGTGTGTGTGTGTGTGTGTGTGTGTGTGTGTGTGTGGTGGGGCCTGAACTCTGGGCCTGGGCACTGTCCCTCAGCAATTCAGCTCAAGACTAGCACTCTACCACTTGAGCCACAGTACCACTTCCGGTTTTTTCTCCTTATGTGGTACATGAGGAATCGAACCCAGGGCCTCATGCATGCAAGACAAGCTCTGTACCACTGAGCCACCTTCCCAGCCCCTATGTTTCAAATCTTGAAAGCAGCCCTGGTGAATGCAAACAGAGTACCATCAGCTGACTGAGGGTCTTTTTTTAAGACTTTGATCTAGAGCTTTAAGGAGTCTCCACCACCATAGCTTACTCAATCCCAGGATAACGACAAGAAGGTGTAACTGAGGGCCCTCCCCCAGCAAGTGACCCATTCAGTGATAAGGAGCAGAGCTTTGGGTAACAAGATCCTCAGAGGGAAAAACATCTAGATTGTTTATCAGAGGAGACAGCAATAGAAGTCCTAACTCCACTCCTTCCTAACATACATTCTTATCAACATTCCTTCCTGCCCTGCCCAATTCAGACACAAGTTGCTGGTGACTCATTGAAGACTAAATACTATAAAAGAATAAGCTATCACTATTCTACAAATTTGAAAGAAAAAAGTAACTAACCAATCACCGCCTTTAAGTAACATAAGGCTTTCAAACAACAAGGCCTGAGCCATTACTTCTTGGCTGATGAGTGCAGAGAATCCAAATTGGGATCCGTGAGTACTCTAGATTTAAAATTACCACCACTTTCTGCCAACAAGAAACAAATTACCTACTGAGAAGCAGTCACTTGGCTTGGGGCAAGCAGGTGATCCCGGCCCCACGTGACCCTTCACCAGCAGCTGGCTTCTTGAGCCTCTTCCAGTCCTTGCTTGGAACTCTCTGAAACTACTGTCCCACAACAATGCTTTCTCCTCCTCTCCAGCACATGCTACAGAGGTCATAACCCAAGACCTGACCCAAGCCAACATCTCTCGTACTTGTGTGAAGAGAGCCTGTTCTAGAACTTGCTGTGACCTGAGCAAGTCAATTCTCTACTTATAAGCAATAAGGCAGGGAAAGGGGAAAATAATTACTGTTCTACTATAGTATTGAGCATTGTGAACACCTGGAAATACAAACAGGTAAAAACATTTTGTATAAGATTGAGGAAATGCTGCTTGCTAAAATAAATAGCCCAAGAGATACCTACATTAATAGAAACTAAAACCTCTCCCAACCAGTTATGACAGAAACTCAGACTCCTCATGGTAGCACACATCTCAAGCATTTCAGTCACACGGGGTGACACCCCCACGGCTCCCTGGCACATCTAGTTCCTCCCCATACTTTCACTTTTTAACATTTTCATCAGCCTCCCAAGCTGAGATTAAAAAGTACAGATAAGTTATCAACCCAAAATGTTCATCCATGATAGTTTTAGTGGAAGATGTCCAAAAATGTCCCCCAGTTACTCACTTTTACACATTTAGAGATGGGAAGCCTCTTAAATCACTCTTGACTGTCAAGCCCTTGTAATTCCGGGTCTGTTTTAGGAACCGTCTGCCAAGAGCCTCTTGGCTGAGGGTCAGAGCTGTCAGGCAAGTTTATTGCTTTTTCCAGGTAGGCCCTGATTCACCTGGGATGGTGTACAGGAGGCACGGACCGTCCTTAAAGAGGAAGGGTGTAGTGGTTGAAGAAGTCCCATTTCCCTCACTGACTCTAAGGGACCTTTGACTCATATTTAGAAACCAGTTTGCATCTCTTTGTACCCTGAAGCCTTGGATACGATGCTCAGAGAGGAGACAGGAGAGAAAGCAGAAGTTCCCAAACTCAAGGAGGCCACTGTTGAAAGGTTTCCGAGAGTGGTAATGAGAACTAGGGAGCAGTATGCTCCCCACACCCCAACTAGGTAACAGTAACTTCCCCAGGGCTAACTTGAGACTGAGAGGCCTTTTACATCTTTAATATGCTTCATTTGCTCCAACTTGTCCAGAGCTTCTATTAGCAGGTAGGGACAGCACTAATTTTGCCACCTAAAAGTTGCTAATTTCCTGACATCTGTTCTAACACACGTCTGCTAGCTTCCTCTGAACCAAAGCTTCCTTCCTAATCATCAGAAAACTCATTAAAATAGCACAGAAAACACAGGCCAAGGAGTCACAATGCGTGGGTTCAGGACTTGGCGCTGATATTTACTGCTATGTGCCTTTAGCCAATCACTTTATCTCTCTGGGTCTTTATCCCATAAAATACAAATTATCATTTGTAAAAATAAAAACCTATGGGCTGGGAAGGTGGCTCAGTGGTATGGGAAGGTGGCTCAGTGGTACAGTGCTATCCTTGCATGCATGAGGCCCTGGGTTCCATTCCTCAGCACCACATAAGCAGAAAAAGCTGGATGTGGCGCTATGGCTCAAGTGGCAGAGTGCTTGCCTTGAGCTGAAGAGTACAGGGACAGCACCCAAGTCCAGAGTTCAAGTCCTATGACTGACCAAAAAAAAACCTTAACAGTAGGGCTAGGAATGCAGCTCAAGTGGTAGAATGCTAGCCTTGACCAAAAAGCAGCTCAGGGACAGTGCCCAGGCCAGTGTTCAAGCCCCAGAACTGGCCAAAAACAAAAACAAAAAAAACAAAACAATCTATATGAAAGTACCATGAACATCTTGAATTTAAGTCTGTGGGAAAAGAGCTCTGCCTCTTTAAGCAAGTATTCCTTAAGACATTTAACAGGCAAATAAATCCTCCATTACCAGAGGCTCTTCAGGTCCCAGGAACCTAAAGATGTCTGAACTCAAAAGTCTCTAGTATTTAAGTGAAGACTTTTGTCCTGGCTTGTCCTAAGAAATCTCTCTTGCCTTGCAGATTACATGAAAGATTCCGCGTGCAGTTCTAGTACTTGCTCCTTGAATAGCAGTGAAAACCCTTACGCCACAATTAAGGACCCGCCCATCCTCACCTGCAAGCTTCCAGAAAGCAGCTATGTAGAAATGAAGTCACCTATGCACACGGGGTCTCCGTACACAGATGGGCCATCCTTGTCGACATCTAATAAAAATATATATGAAGTTGGTAGGTGTCTCGAATAAGTGACGCAGTGCAAATCAGGACAATAGTGCAGCATCACGTGCAAGCCAGCCCTTTACTCTCACCCTGCCTTGACATCACCTTTCCTCGGTTGCTTTCCTAAGGATCCCCCAGGTGAAACCTGTCTTGTCCAGGACTGCCCTCCCACTAATGCAGGAAATCAAAATTGTGTGCCAGCTCTGCTGGGAAAAACTACTGCAACTAATCTGAAGCAGAAATAGTGGGTGTGGGAAATAGTTACATACAATTGACAGAAATTCCGGTTTGAAAAAGAAAACAGTCAAAACTGGTATTTGCAAGTTTCTCAGTCACCTTTTTTCTACCTTCTCCCAATTTAAACTATGTTTCTGGGCATATTGAGAAGAGCCTGCCTCTAAGGCATCCTAATTCTCTTGGTGTTGACCTGGGGCTGGGATTCTGACAGCACAGTCCCTTCCCTTGGTTTTCCATCTCTTGAGCAAGCTTCACTCCAGTTTGTCATAGATTCATAAACCCTTAGCTCTTCTCCCCACCAGTTGAAAACAAAACTCTCTTCCCTCTCAACAAGGCAACCAAAGCTAATCTGTTCTCTGAACTCATTTTTCACTATATTCCTTAGAGCCCACAATCAGTGTGGTCCAAGAAGGCCTCGGTCATAACTCCAGCTATATCCAGAATCCATACGACCTACCTAAGAACAGCCATATTCCTGGTCATTATGACCTCCTCCCAGTAAGACAGAGCCCTGCCAATGGGTCCTCCCGGGACATGCAGTCGTAAGAGGGATGAGCTTCTCTCTTGCAGTGTGCTCTGCTGAACTTTCTCTGACTCACGAAAGAAGACAATCCCTTGACTTGAAATAACGGTGCAGATTGACTCCAGCTGCAGGTTAGTTATTATGTGCACCTGGAATAAAAGAAGAGCTTCCAAGTGGGACTGGGCTGATGGTTCAAAGACATACATTCAGAAGGGCAAATCCTCTCACCCATCTCCTGCCCACCCCCAAATGCCCTGGATTGTATGACTTTTTTTTTAAGCATATAAGGTACCGCTGCTTATCAACATCAGCTAAATATAGCTACTACATATATATATTTAATATTTGGAAACATGATGCTTATAAGCATGTATTAGAGGTTTTAGAAACCTTTCTAGAAGAAAAAAAGGTATGGGGGAGGAGACAGGATCATTTGAAAAGCACCCAAAATGTGTATGTGCTTTTGGTTTGTGACTATTAACACCTGTTTCACTGTAGTTGGCTAAAGCCAACGAGTATGTAGCTATGTAGTGTTGATCCTAAACTACCTGTACATTTGGGTCTCGTACATCAAATTACATTGGCCAAGATCAGAATTTAAGGCATAGTGTAATGTTGATCTCTTCTGTTTTAAAACAGGGTTTTAATAAATATGCCCCATCTGTGACAGTAAGAAAAACGAAAGGCCAGGGGGTAAAAGAGTAGGAACTTCAGGTACACCAGTTTCCTCCAGTCTACAATGATTTCTAGGCCAGCATTACCAAATTTTTCATTTACAGTTTCAGAATATTACAAGTCTATCTTGACCTTGTCACATGGACTTAGTTCATTCAACACCTGAGTCGTTCCAATGTGAAACAGAGCACTGAGATGGGAGGCGGTCCTGGCGTGATTAGGATTACCTCTGCCTAGAAACAAGAGATTTTGCCTCCCTAGTTTATTTAATAGGCCTCCTTGACTCAGAAAAGCACTTGCTTTCAGGCAATCTTCATCAGTTTTGAGCCTGATGTATACAAATATAGACACAGCAAGCTAGTTTATGTTGCTTAATGTATGTTATGCTTTTTGATGGAAATCAATGATCAAAGAAAGTATTATAACCAGTTGCTGGGATGCAATGTAAAAACTTTAAACAGCACATGAAAGTATGAAATGCTTCTACATTAAAGCCACCATCTTCTGAGCTAGCCAGATATGTATGTACTCTGTGGCTCTTAGGCTCCAGATCCCAGTGTTCAACATACATCTATGCCTATTGTTACATAAACTGAGGCCTGTATGATTCCAAACAGAGCCAACTCTTGAGTCTGAGAGGATCCCTTAGCAGAAATTTTTTAAAAAGCCGGGCGCCAGTGGCTCACACCAGTAATCCTAGGTACTCAGGAAGCTGAGAGCGGAGGATCAAGGTTCAAAGCCAGCCCTGGCAGAAAAGTCTGTGAGACTCTTATCTCCAATTAACCACTAGAAAACCAGAAGTGGTGCTGTGGCTCAAGTGGTAGAGCGCTCACCTTGAGCTGAAGAGCGCAGGGATAGCACCCAAGCCCAGAGTTCAAGCCCCACGACCAACAAAAAAAAAAAAGAAATTAAAAAAAAAAATAAAGGGCAGCCAGGCTTAGGTGGCTCACACCTATAATCCTAGCTACTTAGGAAGCTGAGATCTTAGGATCTCGGTTCAAATACAGCCTGGGCAGAAAAGTCTTAACCTCCAACTAACCTCCAGAAAACCAGAAGTGGTGCTGTGGTTCAGAGTGGTAGAGCGCTAGCCTTGAGCAAAAAAAATGCTCAGGGACAGTGCCCAGACCCTGAGTTCAAGCCTCACAATCAATCAACCAAAAATAAAGGGCAAACCAGAGAAGCTAATGGCCACTCTGGGCCATTCCTTTCTCTCATTAAGAATCCAGGCAGTGGAAAAACAAAAAACCACATACTGACACTTTTTAAGTCTATAGAAGATGAACTAAATGACTATAAAGCTGGAATACTGCTATAGGAAGTAGAGGAGTTCTGAAAGCCTTGTTACAAATTGGGTCAACCATAGAACTCCATTAGTTTGGGTAATAATCAGCAAAAGCAAGAAAATAAATTTAGCAAATCCTCACCCTACCCCTACACTTCACTCAAGGCATAAGGCAATGTTAGCTTTAGAGGAAACTATATAATGCTTACATGAATGCTGCATGTGTGCATGGAAGCGAGTGATCAACAATAGTGAATTTACTTTCCCCAAAATAAGCCTTATTAAAATATAAATACTAGAAAACTGCTTTATAGACCCAAGTAAATATTTCTCATACATATGTGGAAAGAATCTAGGTAAGAGACTTACCTCAGTATTTCAAGGCCGCAGTGAAACAGGGATCAGCAAGGAGAAAGGCCATCTTCAATCCCAGGTCTTATCTTCTTCCCTTATCCTGCATGAACATAACTGCTACTGGCAAACTATAAACACTCAGCATCACTCAAGTTTCACCTCTTGGCAACTGCCTTCAAGTAAAAAGTATCCAGAATCAAGAGGTAGAATAGCTAGAGTACTGTGTGTCTTAGATTTCACAGCTCTTTATCCCCCCCCCATGCATGAAAAAGGGGAAAAGCAGAGTGACAAGGAGCTCTCACACCCCTTCAGCTCTAGTGTTCCAAGAGTTTCAAAGTCATGTAATACAATTCAATTAGGCAACAGAAGGGAAAGGCAGAAGGTGTGGTTAATCTGTGGCTGCCTTCCCTTTGCCTAGGAGTTAGTGGTAAAAGACATTTCTATTTTACAGAACAACTGTTGGAAACTTCTGTTTAGCACTCACAAAGAGGGTGGTGGTCAGCCTAAGCTTGTGCACTGTGCTTTTTATTGGTGATATGGAAAGATTTACTCAATTATTTTTCAGAAATTAAATTTTCAACCAAATCAATATGCATACAATTCAAATAAATAAGGAAAACACAATGATTGTACAATAGCGTAAGAAGACATGGCAATACTTTTTTAAAACCACAGATTTGTAATATATTTGTTCACTTGCAGAGGGATGGTACCTGTACAAAAATAAAATGAATTTCTCAAATTTAAGAAGAATATCTATTGTTGTGCTACAAACTAAAATGTGTCTGTAATCTACACTTCAGGTTTAACCTGTATTTTTGTGTGATCAAGTGAAAATTATCCCAATAGAGGTTTGAAAATAAGGCGAAAAGGTTGATAAACAAAGGCCAAACACTGCAGTTTCTGCACTCAAGGAGATTCAAGAATGTACAGGGCACTGGTGGCTCACACCTATAATCTTTGCTACTCAGGAAACTGAGATTGAGGTTTAAAGCCAGTGTGAGCAGTAAAGTCCCGGTGACGCTGATCTCCAATTAACCACCAAAAAGGCGGGAAATGAAACTGTGGTTTAAGTAGTAGAGCACTAGCCTTGAGCACAAAAGGGATGAGATCCAGGCCAAGTTCAAGCCCCAGGACTGGCACACAAAAAAAGAAGATCCAAGAATAGGAAAGGGAAGGTGGAGGAAGCCATTTATACTGTTGCAACAGATGGGATGGACTGATGGCTATATGGGGCTTCACTATGCAGTTACTCACACTTTCATATGAGTAATGATTCTGACAGGATTGTGGAGGAATCAGTGATGTAAATATAAGCAAAGCATATTTCCTCTCCTTGTGGATCTTAAATGGAGGGCCCTGGTAATTAGTGAGTACTGACTATTTTCTTCCCTGACTTGCAGAGCTATAAAGACCAAGTAGTGGTCCAAGACAAACCCACAGAAGGTGAAAACTCTCATCTTCAGCTTCAATTGTCAGAGTCCTTTCTCATTCTGCCTTCCAAGCCACTGTTTACCGAGCAAAAATTGTCTATCCCAGAGTTTGTAAGAGCCAGCGGGGAGGATCTAAGATCTTAAAAACTACTATTATTTTAGGTGTCATTACAATGTAAACAACATGTAGTTATCTAAAGACCCTACCTATCTCTCCTCCAGAGTTGATTTCACATCAAAGCCCACAGAAACAGTATTGCTTCATTTCAGACATTTATCATACTCTTATAATATCCTTGGACCCATGTGACAAAAACCTTTGGCAGAGAGGGCAGCATAAAGGCTAGCAGACTCTCAAAGATATGACAAGGGACCACACCACTTCCCTAGAGACATCTGACAAATGCTGAGACCAGAGGTTATTGGGGAATGGGTGCTAAACACAGTACTCTTACTCTGTGGGATGGGGTCTGAGACACTATGGTTTGAAAGAAACAGGAAAGGAATCCTACTGGCTACGAATTTTTACTACCATAGTAGGGTACTAGAAAAAGAGTACTTAACAGCCAGAATACATAACATTTTATATTCACATCTGTGTCAAGCCTTCAGTTTAAACTGAATTCAAATACTGCTGGTACAATTAATTAGATTGCACGAACACTCCCAAACTGTACTGTATATGTGTGAGCACACATAAACTTGGGTTTAATCACTAATTCTATTGGATAGCTGGTTCTGTGGACTGATCTACCTTCTTGTAGATTCCTATTAAAGAGACCATTTAAAAAATGAAATACAATTTTTTTTTTAAGTTCTGTCCCAATATATTTTAAAGTACACATTAAAAGCCAGCAAAATTTTAACAGCTTTAACAGTCTTCTGTTGACAGTACTCCTCCTGGTCCAGTGCTCCCCCAGCACATCCCATACTTGGGTACATATTTTTTAAATTGGCATTTTGCAAATACTTTGAAAACTTTCATCTTATTTAATGGAAACAACATGGAAATAAAGAACATTTTAATCCACTTATTGTAACAAAACCAAAAGCATTTTACAAAGTGCATACTTATCTGTAAATTAAAAAACTGAGTTAGAAATTACAATTTGGCCTTAGACACCTGAAGAGGGCTCATTCAGATAATTACAGAAATTTAAGTTGGGATGTCCCCCCGCCATGATCTAACCCTGACTTGTCACTAGTTGGAAGAACAAGAGCTCAGAGATGACAAAAGCTGTGACTACAATCAGTATGTACTAGCTACTTTTCAATATTTTCAGTCACACAGAATTGAGCATATTGTCAGTGCATGCTTAGGATGCAACAGTCTTTCAAATATTCTTTTTCTTCAGCTCAATTTTCAGGAAAATGGACACCCGCTATTAAAACTATATCTGAGCCTAACAGTCTCTATACATAGGTAGAGCAACATTAACATGCCCAATCTACCACTTTATTATCGCCATCAGCCCACAGTTTGGGAGAACACAACCAGTTTAAATATTAGAATGACAACCGAGGTTTATCTGGCATACTGGACAGGCACGTGGGAAAGGTGGGACCTGTCCATCCTAAAAGGAGGCATGGAACCAGAACTGCCCCAACCAGGAGGAAAATGTGGTCTCTCTTACAGCACCAGTATCAGAGCACCGTCTGGTGCTCTGCTAACCCATTAATAACTCATGTGTTAGAAAGTGCGCCTTTCAGACTCTCTTCTGTTTCTTTTACATGGCAAATGGAGGACTTACACAATCCTAAACAAAATTTACATTTTGGCTTGAACTTTGTCAAATTTATGTTGTGTAAAGATACCAGATAATCATTTTTCATTTTCTACCAGGTTAAAATAATAACATTTAAAACTCTGTAAATCAAAAACCTAACAATCTAAATATGATAGTAAAGACAAAAACTAAGATGTTCTTTTTCCCAGTGGTGAAAGAAAATATGACTAGCTCTGATGCTAACCAAACTCTGAAGAAGTCTAACTTTTATGTGCATAACAAAACACTTTGGAACTTAAAAGACCTATGGAAAAAGTCACCAGCTGGTCCCTCGCTTTAAAATTTTGATGTACTCAATGCAATTTCCCTTACATAGTGGCAACCACTATTAAAGGAATACCACAGAGCACACTTAGAGAACTATGACACAAATTTAAGTAAAACTGTAAGGCTAACTGACTTTTCAGGAGAAGACAACAGGTTAGAAGAACTCAGAGCTAAAGTAACTGAAAAGCTGATGACTTATGCCTATAATCCTAGCCACTGAAGAGGCTAAGATCTGAAGATCATAGTTCAAGACAGCCTGGGCAGCAAAGTCCCTGAGACAATTCTCCAATTAACCACCAAAAAGCTGGAAGAGGAGATGTGGCTCATGTGGCAGAACACTAGCCTCCAGCACAAAAGCTCAGGGACAGTGCCCAGGCCCTGAGTTCAAGCCACAGGACCAGCGATAAGACAGACAGACAGACAGACAGAGTGGTTTTTTGTTTTTTGTTTGCCAGTCCTGGGGCTTGAACTCAGGGCCTAGGCACTGTCCCTGAGCTTCTTCTGCTCAAGGCTAGCACTCTACCACTTGAGCCACATGGCCTTCTGGCTTTTTCTGTTTATGAGGAACTGAACGCAAGGCTTTATGCATGCTAGGCAAACACTCTACCACCTTCCCAGCCCCAGGTAGATAAAATTATAAAACTGTTTCTAAGACAATTTGTCTTCTGAGGGACTACTCAAAAGAAAGACTTGTTGAAATGCAGTCATTTTCTATACCTAATGTTGTTTGGAATGCTAAAATCTAACCATGCTTAAGCAATATTTAAGTTTATCCCTGGTAAAAAGTAAAAGTTACTTTGTTCATTTGTGATTCATTACTTACTTTCTCTTTTTAAAGTAATTTTGTGGGGAAAAAAATACTAGCAATTTTGAATAAAACAGATGGAGCCTTTTCCTGGGTCTGAGAACATTTAACATACATAGACTTCTTCATTAATATTTCTAGTAATACTTTTCCCAAGAAAAGTGCACTTGAACTACAGGTCTAAAATCAAACCTGAATTCACACTGACACCTCCAACTCTTACGTTATCTCCATAATGCAATGACCTATGTTCTTACTCATCAGAATCAGTATTCCACAGCTGTACCCAATGTACTAGGAAAAATATAATCTGACAACGTAAGGAATAGTCAGTCCCCCTATAACTGTTTATTAGATGAGAATATATTCCAAATTAATAACTAAAAAAATTAAGTTACAGAGCATGCATAAAATACAAAGTGGCAATTTACAAACAGACAATAGTATCTTTATAACCAATACACTAAAATAATAAAAGGACTACAAAAGAAAGCAGGAATGACTGACTATAGCAATGCCTTCCGTGTGCCCTACACATCATGAGCACCGCAAAAGACAGGAGATTAATTAGGAAATGCAGCAATCTACGCAAGCCTACGTGTATATATTTTTTCCTTGGATATCCCATCATCCTGAATAGTATCCCTACAGGTGACAACTTATAGAAAACTGCAGATTAAGTGCTTAATACTATCCATAAGGAAGTAAAACTAAATGTTAGTGTGCATACTTCTGAATGAGAAACTAGTTACTCCATTGATTGCAATTATGTAGTGGAAAAAAATTATTCCAGGCCTCTATAATGCCTAAGTGCATTCTACTTAAACTCAAAGTACTATTTCATTTTACATACTAATACATGCCTTTAAGTGGTACCACTTAAGCATAAATTAACCTCTCACTAGATTCTTTAGACATACTAAAACCAAAGATCTAACTGGACTGTATCCCACAGTACACTGCAAACCTCAAATATTAGCATTGTTAAAATAACTATCCATGCTTGCTGGTGGATATAGTGATAAAAGTAGGTTGCATTTCACATACTGGAAAGGTTTTAAAAGAAAATTAACATCTCAAAATTTGATATTACCGGCATTAAGCCAGTTATTGTATGAGCAATAAAATGCCACATAATCTACTGCTGGGAAGTGAACTCAGATAAATTACTTGGGCTGCTTGAGCACTGCAGCAGTCACCTCGGATGGAATTTCCACCAGTCTCTCCAGTTCCCAGCCTGCTAGGCAGCATTGTTTGATTTTGGGTCCCATAACCATACCCCTATCATAACCACAACAGACTTTGTGTTTAAGGTAATTCTTGCTCAGAAAAAAAAAAAAAAAAGCCCACTCTTTAATCAGCTTTGATGCTTACAAGAATTAAAAACCAAAATTTACTACATAAACTTATTAAGGCATTTTAGAAAGTGACTTCTAGACTAATGGAAAATTTTCAAGCTCTCAAAATGCTGTTATGTTTATAGGGCAATTCTTATATTTGTCAAAATATACACTGCACTGAGAAAAGTGTATTACTCATAAGCTGCTTTGTGGCAAAATAATAATTTGTTTCTAAGATCTTCTTTGATTTCATCAAGACCAGTGGGTCTAAACTTCAAGTTCTATTATGTTCTACAGAGACAGGCTTCCATGATGAAAAGTAAACAATAATTGAGGAATTCAAACATTCAGTTTATTAAACTAAGGCTACTGAAGCCATAGCATGAAAAACAGCTGCAGTCATTCGGGACAAAGTGGATGATTTTATAAAGCTAAAATCAAGAGACGTAAGACATGGAGAAATCTATAAGTATGAGGAAGTAAGTAAGAACACAAAAGTGACCACAAGAATTACAAATATATTTAAATCTCAGACCTGGGAAATGGACTATACACAGCCTTCTAGGGGAGCAGAGGATCGCCTTAGATGTTCTGACAGCATTGCACCTTTGGCTTATTTTCAGTGGTTGGTGGGACATGAATAGGAACCACGTTGTTGCTTGGAGACATGTCATTTTCACGTCTGTCTGACATTTGCTTCTGAGAAACAATGCGGTATATCTCTGAATGAGAAGAAGAGAGAAAAATGCTTAGTCTGAATAAACCCATAAAGAGTTTGAATAAAAGAGAGATGATACACCAAATATAGAATATATATATATATATATATATATTTTCAAATAGTCACTACTTAGAATCAGCCTGTGATTTTAACAATTGTCCTGTTAAGAAGAGAACCTAAGGGTTTTACAGTTTCAGAGGGAAAGGATCACCACTTAATTAAAAAAATCTTGGTTTGAAGTGCATTACATAGTTTATAGATCTGAATTAAGTTACAAAACTGTTTACTTACACATAAAAAGGACCAGCTACACTGACATTGTGGAAAATAAATAAATCTACACTATCAAATAATTCAGTATCAGTAATGTAACAGGCTTTTGGTGAAAAAATACTGACTCCTCAGGTGGGCGTGCAAATGTCTGAAGGGTAATTAGAAAGATAAAGGTTGGCATCCTGCCTTCATTTTCTATCTCTTGTCTCCCTGCAGTTACCTTGCACCTGTGATAGGAATGGAAGCCCCCTGCCCTAATACACCCCACCCAGGTAACAAAGGCTTTCTTCAAATAAAAGGCCCAGTCTGACCAATCCTGAGATAATGAGCAACCAGACCACTTCTGACCAGACCATACTTGTGACTCAACTGTTTAATAATTACACATAACCCTTCCCCCCACCATTCTTCGTCACTTATACCTAAACCGCATGTCTGCACAGGGAAGAAGGGCTAAAGTACTTACTTCACCTCTCCCCACCGTTCCCCCTTCCCTGCCCTCCACTACAACTCATCTCTATTTCGGATTGGGGGCAAATGGCCAGATGTAACTTGTAGAAACCTCAAATTTGGACCAGTGGACTAAAACTCCAGCTACAGTGACTTAACATTTTATATGCAAACTCTATTTTGCTTTCATGACACTTTTTTTTTTCTTTTGCCAGTTCTGGGGCTTGAACTCAGGGCCTGGGCACTGTCCTTGAGCTTCTTTTTGCTCAAGGCTAGCACTCTACCACATTAGCCACTGCGCCACTTCTGGCTTTTTCTGTTTCTGTGGTGCTGAGGAATGGAGCCCAGGGCCTCATGCGTGCTAGGCGAGCGCTCTGCCACCGAGCCACATCCCAGCCCCTCATGACACTTCCTCAGTTTCTGCTCCCTTCCACTCAACAGTAAGCTTTAGGACTAAAACTCTATCTTGTCTTATTTACTACCCTATCTCCAGCACAGACAATATTTTGAAATTGCATTAAAGTCATTAAACTTCCCTACTGTGTAACACATTTTATTTGATTTTAATTTTTCATTGCCTGACTATAGATTATAAATGTTGTTGCCCTTGCTAGGCAGGCATTCTATGACTTCAGCCATATCTCCCCAACACCTCCAGTCCTATAAACTCCTTAAGGGCAGAGAAAATGTATCTTATTTATCTTTGAACTCCCAGTTCTTTTTACAAAAAAATAATGAAAATTGAAAAAGCAACTAAAAATCCTTCAAAAGGTGTTTGAATTCCAAAAACAAGACAAACTTAATTAAGCCTCCTACTATGATTTACTAAGAGAGACATAATACATTCCTATTCACAACACCATGTATTCTTGGCAATTAAAAGTGAATTATGAGAATACAAGTAAATCAAGAATGTTAGGATAGGGCTGGGAAGTTGGCTCAGTGGTAGAGCACCACATAAGCAAAAAGAAAAAAGCCGAAGTGGCGCTGTGGCTCAAGTGGTAGAGCGCTAGCCTTGAGCTGAAGAGCTGAGGGACAGCGCCCAGGCCCAGAGTTCAGGTCCCACGACCGGACCCCCCCCCCCCCCAAAACAAAAAAAGAATGTTAGGATAAATGTCTAAATCTGAGCTATCTGTGCTAGTTACCTATTTAAATAAAATAGCTTTAAAAAAAAACAACAAACTGGGGTTTGAAGTGCCTTGTGCTTGCTCAGCAGGTTCTTCACCTAGAGCTGAAACATACCTTCAGACCTTTCTTTTTCCTCTGGTTATTTTTGCTTCTGCCCAGGCACTGGCCTGGACCATAATCCCCTATTTTAGGCTTTCTGTCACAGCTGGGCTGGTTTCTTATGTTGAGATGGAATCTCCCAACCTGTTCTAAACAGGACTGTCCTGGAATCCTGAACCTCTCTAACTCAATCTCTCAATTAGCTATTATAATAGGAATGAGCCAATCGCCCAGCTTAAGTAAATAACATTTATAATCTAATTATTCAGCCATGGGTCATACTGCCTATGCTAAGTAGCAACCTGTGGCTAGTAGCAATTCTATGTGATACCTCAGATATAAAACATTACATCAATACAACCTGTGATCCTTGACTTGGCCTTGGATTTAAAATTAAGGAATAAATTTATGAAGGACATGAATACGCTTTGGAGAAATCTGAGTATGGACTACATATTACAAAATGCTGCATAAATACAACATCTGTTTAAGTAAGCGAATGCTTGGTTTTTATGACAACAAATAAATATTCAGTAAACTAATATTCAGTGCCTAAATACTTAGTTACAAAGTCTATAACTTACTTTCCAAAGCTGAAAAGGAATGGGGTGTATATATAAGCACGGAAAAATAAACCAAATGTGGTAAAAATCGAAAATGATTCTGGATAAAGGATACTTGTTCACTATATTATCTGTAATATTGTCTAAACTTTTAGGGAAGGAACAGAAATGTGTTTTCAAATGCTCCAATAACATATCAACCAACTTTAATATATGAATATTTCAATTAACTAAAATTTAAGAAAAATATGAGTCAGGACACTTATATGTTGCTTGGGTTACAGATGACAAAGGAATTACTGCCAAATTTTTTAATGGTGTTATGAGTTTAAGTCTTAATCTTTTATATATACATGCTGAAATTCATATAATCGAAATAGCTATCTGGCATTTATTTCACTATAATGGGGGAGAGATGAGGCTGTCAAAATGAGCAGTTGTTGACAGCTACATGAGAGATCACACCATTCCAATGGGTATGTTGGAAACTTTACATAACAAAAACTTAAAAGGAAACACATATGCCTAGGCAATGGTGGCTCATGCCTGTAATCTTAGCTACTGAAGAGGCTGAGATCTGAGGATCGTGGTTCAAAGCCAGCAAGAAACTCCCCCAGTCTCTTATCTCCAATAAACGACTCAGAAATCGGGAAGTGGAGCTGTGGCTCAAGTGGTAGAGCACTTGCCTTGAGCTGAAGAGCTGAGGGACAGCACCTAGGCCCAGAGTTCAAGCCCCATAACCACAAGAAAAAAGGAAGCACACGTTGATGGAATTACATTTTCTCTAAAGCAAGCATTAGTGAAATTAATATGTAAATTAACAAAAATACAGCTATGTACCATTTCCTGCGCTTGTTTGGAGGGAGGGAAAGCTAAACTTCATGGGTTTTTTGGTAATGTTTGGTTTTGTTTTGGGGCTTGAACTCTGGGCCCCAGCATTGGCCCTAAGCTTTTTGGCTCAAGGCCAGTGCTCTACCACTTAAGCCACAGCACCAGTTCCCATTTCTGGTGGTTAATTGGAGGTAAGAGTCTCAGAAACTTTCTTGCCTGGGCTGGCTTTGAACCTCCCTCCTCAGATCTCAGCCTCCAGAGTAGCTAGGATTACAGGCATGAGCCACCAGTGGCCAGCTTAAATTTTATGTCTTTATTTTTTTATTATTATAAAGGTGATGTATAGAGAGGTTACAGTGGCTTAAGTCAGGTAATGAGTAAATTTCTTTTTAGACAATGTCATTCCTTCTCTTGCTCTTTCCCAGTTTTCCCTTCCTGTCCCCAAGCACATGCTGTATAGTTCATTTTTTACGTATGTAAAAATACTGTACCGAGAGGTTGCAGTTACTTGAGTAAGGTAAGTACATATCCAATCGAGCATTGTTACCTCCTCCTTTGTTTGTCCCCTACCATCCGTTCTCTCTCTACCTCTCCCCTCCCCGCCCACCAAGTTGTAAAGTTCTTTTCCAACATAGTGTCTTGTACATCTCATTGTTACAATGGGTCAACCTGTATCTTTAAGCATTTTGCTAGTTCTCTTCTCCTCCCCAAATTAAAAAAATGTATATACTAAAGCTGGGCACCGGTGGCTCATGCCTGGCTCATGCCCGGGCAAGAAAGTATATGAGACTCTTATCTCCAATAAAAACCACTAGAAAACCGGAAGTGGCTCAAGCAGTAGAGTACTTGCCTTGAGCTGAAGAGCGCAGGGATAGCGCCCAAGCCCAGAGTTCAAGCCCCACGACCACCCCCCCCGCCCCCCCAAAAAATGTATATACTAGGATGCAGGGCACTGGAATCAAATACAGTGAAAATAAGGGTTATACCATGGGGGGAGAACATACAAAAGAAACAAAAAAATCACATTATAAAGAATAGCAAGAAAAAAAAACCACACTCGTGTCCCTATCTTGGGGTTCATTTCACTTAACATCATCTTATATGGTCATATATACATAGCTTTTGACCTTTTTTGCTTGTCCTAGACATACTAGTTATTGCAAATAAGGGAAACCATGGGACCTTTGTTTCTTTAGGCCTGGCTTACTTCACTTAAATATAATTTCTTCCAAGTCTATTTCCTAACCAATGGGGTGATGTCTTTCTTTCTGATGGAGGCATAGAATTCATATATATACATATGTATGTATGTATGTATGGCATTTTCTTGATCCATTCATCTACTGAGGGGCATCTGGGTTGGTTCCCTATCAGCTATGGTAAATAATGCTGCGATAAACATAGTTGTGCTGGTATAGCTCATTTTTAACATAGTGTCCAATGAGTGCTACTGCTGTATTTGTTCACCCTTTGTCCCTCCATTTCTGTGCCTCCTCTTACCCTCCCAAAGACAGATAAATAAACAAACTAAACTTCATGTCTAAGACGGTTGAGGACGGTTCAAATATCAAGAAGCACTAGTGGAAAAACTAGACTATACTCAAAATAAGCTACTGATCAAAGTCCAAAAAGAAAGCATACACACAAAGAATAGGGT